CAAGTTAATGTGCATGGATACAAGGTGCTCCCCGATTCTGTGGTTTATATTCTAGTTTATTTTGAGGTGTTGAAGATGGATGTATGTACCTGCTGTGATCTGACCCACATTGTTTCACTGGCAGGTGCTGCAGGCCCACGGCTCTTTACCATACACCAGATTGATGCCTGCACCAACAACTTGCCAAAAGCCCACACTTGGTGAGTTATTTTTGTAGCTTCTCCTCTGTCAGTGTAGGTAGGTGTTAGTTAGTTCTAAACAGATTTGATTTTTCATTTATTCTTCTTGCTCATAAGTGGACCCTTAAGAGAAATGATGAGCACTTCTTTTTTGTGACTTAGAAATTGAAATTATTCAGAAATGAGTAGGCAAACCCAGAGTGATGATGTCTGCGTTAGAGAACTGCTGGCTTCTCACTTTGTGACACCAAGACCGCTGTGCTGTGCAGTGGCCACTTGCTGTGTTTGTTGACTAGTTTTGAACAAATGATAAAGTCTGATTTGCTTATTTACAGCTTCAATCGAATAGACATTCCGCCCTATGAAAGCTATGAAAAGCTCTATGAAAAGCTGCTAACAGCCATTGAAGAAACATGTGGATTTGCTGTGGAATGATGAGCGCCAAGGACTTAACCTAGAACTCTTATTTATCCCTGGGCCGACAGCCTCCTTCAGCAGCGCTTCAGAGAACGCTGGAATACAGGGCAGCCCCCTCCCCTGCCCCTTAGATTCTTGGACACTGTGAGGGGAAAGGACAATTTTGAAATTCCTTTTCAAGGAAAAATAAAAGTCTTTATGCTTTGCCATGAGGACACACTCAGCTGCTATTTAAAAATTAATACCTTGAACCTAAAGAATGCTGACTCCCTGCGTTTCCAGAGTTAGGCAGTATTCTACACTTAAAGACTACTACTATTTTTATAAAAGGTTATCTATCCAAATTGCTTCACAGACTCGTGTCTCTCGCACAGCAAGACAACTCCAGCAGTCGGTACACATCACATTTCATTTTGACTGAATACATGATTTTTGAACAGCTCCTATACTTGCTCTTTGTAAAAACTAAATAAAATTATTTTGAATTGTTCCACCTTTGTAAACAATTGGCTGAAGGAATCATTACCTTTATGAAATTAAGCCATTTACATGTTTAGTTGTGTTTTTCTATAGCAGAGTGTTATATTTTGCATTATGTGTGGGTCACCCTAGCTTTGATGGGGTTTTATATTTTTCAAGTGTGACTTTCTTGGAAATTCCTAATACAACCATTTAAACTGAATTTATTTGCTATCTTCCCTGTTTTTAAGACAACTTTTTAAAAAGAAAAAAAAACCTTCATGTTCTTGAATCAAGAGGATCGGGTATTTTGGATTTACTTTCATCTTAAATTGAAATACTGCGTTTTTATAGCTTCTCTGCATGTGATGGGGTTTTCATTCTTTGCTGGGTCAGCTTGTCTTTTATATGCTATTTCTATAAACCAAAGTCTCTAATAGGTACATCTAACTTATATTTTAATTAAGTTTCTAAAAGGAAAATTTTTGCTCTAAAGATTGTTTAGCTTAGAGAGCCCTGCTATATTACCTCACTGGAAGAACTGGAGGTGGCAGTGGGCATAGTGGGCAGGGAACGTTGTACGTGAGTGATGTCAGGTGTGCTGGCCACGCCTGTGACCCTGCTCCTGGGAAGCTGAGGCAGGGGGGAGTAGTTAAGTTCAAGGCCAGCCTGAGCTACGTAGCAGATGTTGCCTCAAGTGAGAGTGATCTAAGTCTATTGTACAATTTACTCTAAAACTGAAGAGTTCATTTAGAAGTAAGGGAGTGGAGCCCTGGCTGCCACATTGCTGACTTCCAAGCGTTCAGGTTGAGTTTTTAAGTGTGTGGCTCATCCCGTGATCCAGAAGGTAACCGAAATTCTGGGGTGAGGGATTTTAACCATCTAAAATCACATTGGATTTTAAATTCAACCATCCAAAACAGCGCATTATTATTTTTAAACATGATGTAAAATAAAAATAGCAAATTTTGATGAGCTTGGACACAAGGACATGAAGAACACTTGATAGAAATTGTGACTGAGCCTGGTGACTGACACCTGTAATCCTAACATTGAGGAAGAAGAGGCAGGAGGATGAGGAGATCAAGACCAGTCTGGTCTACACGTGGGTTTGAGGCTACTTTGAGACCCTGTCTCCAGGGGGTGAAGACCACAACTGTCTGGGATGCAGTGATAATGAGATGCTTCTTTCTGTGGTTTTTCCATGCAGTGTAAAGCAGGCAAATCCCATCACTTTTGAGTGCCTTTTAACTTTATAACAATGACCTGACAGAGCTTTAAAGGAATTCACCCTATGTAACAGTCTGCAGTAGCACATGACATCCAAAAACATGATTTAGATTTCAATTTCAAAATTACTTTACCTGATTACTTCCAAATAGGTGCTAAGCCAACAAAAAAAACCCAGTGTCATTGAACCTGGACTTGCTTTGTGTCTAATGTGAATATTTATGTGTTTCCACGTATCCTTCCTCTAGTTGCGCTGTCTCACCATCCCCCTTTTTTCCATCTGGAAAGCTTAATTCTGACCAGTGGTTACTTTGTTGTCCTCAAATAGTTAGGGACCACTATTTCTTGGCAGAGAGTTTTAAGGTAGTGCTATGGATCCTGTACATCGTTTTGCAGTTCGTTGCCCTGTATTTTTACAGTGCTCCCACCCCCACCTAAAGGCCAGAGCACAAATTCCTCATCTCCTAAATCCGTTGTAATTTGCTTTCTTTGACAACACTAAATCTGCTCTGAACTTCAGTGCATTGGACGAATAGCACTGATGGCGGTAGGTGCTTCCAGCGCCTGCAGGGTTGGCAGCGCCTTGTCTTTTGGCTGCAGCTTACTGTCAGCAGCTACGTGTGGTGGTTAATGTCCTCACACTAGGATGATGATTGTACCAAATGCTGAGTTGCTTATTCTAGATGTAATTAGTTCACTTTATGTAATATTCTTCCTTTTCTCAAACTGACTTTAAAAACAAAGTTTTATCATTTTCATTGTATTTATTGCAGAATGTTTTAGCTTTGATATTCTTTGTATTTTCACTCATTTGTTACATGAGCTTTATCAATAACATCTGTATAAATGGTTTTTAAAAATTAACTATGTATGTATGTATGTATGTGCCCATGCCGAAGTTGAGCAATAAAATGAATGCTGTTTGCACTGCCACAGCAGCGAAGTTTTTAAAAATACTGAGTTTTTACTTGTTTTGAAAAACATTTGACTTTTCACAGTGATAGCATGAAGTCTTGGAATGAGAAGAAAACAGCTTTTTTTTTTTTTTTTTTTTTTTTTACAGGGGTCCCCTGAGGTGGAGCAGACAGGTGAGTGGTTCTCTGCTGTAGCACACAAGGAACTTCCAGCCGTTGTTGGGGACTGTGTGAGGTGATGGGTCTTCTGAGGCTGGTCTGTAGTTAGTGGAGGGAAATATGGATATCTACAAGCAGGTCTGCCTGGGGTTGGTAGATAGCCTAATATCTGCCAGGGTGGTTTGGTGTTGGAACAGTAAAACCTTCAAAATGAAGAGAGATGAGTTACAACTCTGAATGGAATGCAAGCTTATGAAAGCACGGCTAACTATATAGGTAGAACAGAAATGCATGTGGTTTCTTTTTTCACCTAGAGTGGTCTGCGAATCCCTACACAGCAGAGGCAGCAACAGAATGGAACATCTGGGAAGTGCAGAGCGAACAGCAGTGATGTGTGACAGACAGTTGTAGACAGTGTTGTAGAGCTGCTTCCTCTGGTTCTTCTAGAGGGAGAAGGGAGGCCCACAAAAACCTCCAAGGTATGTTCGTGCAGTTTTGAAAGAAAAAAAAGGAATAAAGGTGGAGAGACTTTCAGGGGAGCTGCACTTGAGTGATACTGCTGTCATTTCAGAATGCATCTAGAAGGCTCTTCAGTAGTATGCTCTTGTAAATAGCCCCAATAAACTGCTTCATCAAATTACATTTGGGTGGTATTGTTTCTTTGTTGCCAGTTTCCTGAAGTGGAGAAATGTTTATCGAGTTTCCAGGTGGATGAACATGCTGTACGTTTTCACATTGCTGTGTTTACTGACTTTATCTAAAACAAAATTCTAGTACATTAAAGATATTTGGTATTTAATAGTATACTAATCAAACCAGTTTGATTTGATCACTTTGTTTGAAAGTATTTCTGCTTTATGGTAGCCAGTAGTTCACCCCTGTGATTTATGACAGAGGGTAAACACATTTGAGTTTTCTATCCCAGATAACACGGCAGGATCACACAGAGGCCAAGAGACTAGTTTACAGGATAAATGAGGCAATTTCACAGAACAGTTGCCTTTTATGCTAATGCTTTAACTGTAACTAGACAAACCAGTTTAAAATTAAAATTTATTTTATTTAAAAGGTAACCCCAGCACCCAGGAGTCTACTGGAGGGTTGAGAGGTTGAGGCCAGCCTGAATTTCACTAGTTAGGAAGGCCTGCCTTAGAACAAGAGAAAAGCTCTTCCCTAAATGTAACTTGCTCTTCTCATCAAGTTCTATAATTTTCCAGTGTGCTAGGCTAGGCTGATAGCTTCAGAAGATTATCGATTCAGTGGCTTTTGGATTAAAGTGGATTAAAGTCATGCACTGCTACACCCAGATTATCACCAGCCTCTGCACAGAGTCAACACAGAACTCACTGGTTTGTGTGAAGCCAGTCATCCCTGAGTGGAGACCACGTCTTCTGGTCAGGAAGTAGATGAGGACTACAGGCTAGATAGCTCCTGAACCCCAAACAGTCATAACCATTATTGGCTTTATCCAGTCTAATGGATGCTGCCCTTGGTCCTGGATGTTTTCCTTAGCAGTTAACAGCTTTTGTTGGCCTCCATCAAGAGGCTGCGGGATTGGGCTGGCAAGAGTTGCAATTGCTTTAGCATAAAACATGTCTTTGTTCCCTTTTCTCAGGTTTTAGGGTTATAAGTTCAAAAGCAGTAAGCTTTAAAAAAATAGTTTTTATTTTAAAAAAATGGTAAGTTTTAGCATGAATACATAGATAACGCATTTAAAAAGTAATTCTGGTTTAGACAGTTTACTGGCTCAGGTCTAGTTTTGTCCATATTATTAGGGACTCTAGAAACTTCACCTATGACGTTTGGCCTCTTGGGGAAGGATTTTTACTGTACTGGAAGGAAGCCATTTGCAGCCGAGCTCTGAAGCGCTCCGCTTCTAGTTCCCGAAAGAAAGCATCGTCGTCATTCTGGGTTATCATGCACTGCAGCTGCTGGATCTCCTTCTCCATCTTAGCTCTCAGCTCCCTCTTCACTTTATGCAACGTCTGAAAGAAAACTCATGTCAGTCTACAGCTTGTGACTTAGCCAGGCTCCCCACTACTCTTACCCCTACCTGCAGGCTCCTAGTAAGGGCCCGAGACCATAGCAGGTATGTTAGAGCCCATCAGGTATTTTGGAGAAGAGATGGGTCCTCTTACTCATTCTCTCCATTCTTTTAAAGTTACAGTAACATTTTCTATTTCCTTTTAGGAATAGTTCCTGTCCTGTTATTACCTGAGCCTGAAATTTCTCTCTGGCTTTGAGTTCCTGACGCTCCTGTGATATGGCTTCTGCCAGCAATGAAAACTGAGGAAAGAAAAAAAAAATCTTCCGTCACAGTACAATGACTCTTAACACTCCATCTTAAATCTCAGTGGAACTAGGACAACACACATTGTACACTGTTGCCAGGGATTAGCTTATTTCATCTTAAATTTGCCTTAGAAATGAGCAGTGTAGCTTGTATGGTGCTGCAAAGCTCTGTGCCAATTTGCATATTAACCAGCAATGAACTAAGCCAACCTGATAGGTGGCTGGGATTGAACACACTAATGGCAGCAGCGGCAAGCCCACCTGGTCCTTATAGTAGTTTTCCATCGAATCCAGCTCATTCTGGTGCTGTCTCTTTTCTTCGTTGCGTTTCTCTTTGGCGTAGTTTCTTAGGTCTCGTAGTCTTTGCTTCTGAATTTGTAAACCCTCTTCAAACAGTTTCTTAAAGATCTGTTGGTTATTTAGTCGTTAATTAGACTGCACTTTTCACTGAGGAATATGACGATTTTGCTTACCTAGAGGTATAAACTAATTGTTTTCACAAAGGCTTTTCAAAATAACAGCTTTACTCATTATTCACAGACATAAAATTAACTCTCTGAAAATGTGCATACATCATTAGTAGGTTTTAGGAGACTCAATCCTGTGTAACCAGCACAAGTTTTCAACATTTCCATCCCCTCAGACACGAACCCCCACACTCGTCTGCACTACTTATGTTCTCCCATTCCTGGTCTGTGGATTTGCCTGTTCTAGACACAGCCTTGACCTAGCGTGCTTTGAAAGTCAGACTGCTTACAGACCTCAGGTGTGTCACTCTTGTCACTGTGAATATAAACTCTGCTCACAAATTCTTGAGTTGACAGACATGAGTCCCTTTTAGCTGTTACAGTTTTGGTTGCTATGTGGATATGAATATGTGTGTGTGTGTGTGTGTGTGTGTGTGTGTGTATAAAAAATCATCCATCCATCCACCCATACAGCATTCCAGTAACCTTTTAGAAGTGCTGCCAGACTTTGCAAATGCAATCACACCATCATACAACCCTACCAGTCCTGCAGAGTGCTCCATCTTCATGTCTTCACCAATTCTCTATATTTTAGCCATCCTAGTGGGTGTGAGTGTGTTCTGTGATTTGTATTTCCTTACTGATGAGTGGTGCTCAGCATCTTCTCATGTACCACCAAGATTCTTTACTGCCTTCCAAATTCTCGAGCATCCATTGTTTGTAAGGCAAGGTGGAAACCAATGCTTCTGCACCTCACTAAATACTTAGCTGAAGGTCAAGGGTCAGCATTTGGGCAGCCAACATAAAACAACTGTTCAAGAGGTTTTGACATACCCAATTGTCTTCCCTTCATAAGGAATCTTCATAAAAGGCTACAGCTGACAGTCACACATCCATTACCTTATTACCTTAACAAGTTACTTAACTGCCTCAAGCCATAGCAGTATCTTCCTCAAGAAATGTTTTGATTTGCCAGGCGGTGGTGGCACATGCCTTTAATCCCAGCACTCGGGAGGCAGAGGTTGGTGGATCTCTGTGAGTTCGAGGCCAGCCTAGTCTACAAGAGCTAGTTTCAGGACAGCCTCTAAAGCTACAGAGAAACGCTGTCTCAAAAAACAAAACAAAACAAAAAATTGATTTGTATTTAATCCAGTTTAACCATGATCAAGTTTTACTATAGAAGTAAAGTTTGCCAGTAATTTGGAGTCCCCAAACATTGATTAGGATGGGACAGTCAGTGTATCTTGTGGGCATAGCTCACAGCACAGCTATTCCTTGCATGTCCTGTATCATGCCAGCATACCTTAATTTCCTGCCATCTGCAGTGTGCTTCCAAACCCCAAGGGCACCGTACTTTAGAGTACAGTGTAGGAGAGGGACTTAAGGCTGCATGTTAGGAGGAAGACCTCGTCATGAAGACTAGGGAATGGGATGCACAGCTGGGTAGTAAAGCCTGGTCAAGCACAAGTCCTGGCTGCTTTTAGAACTTAGATTGAATTTCGGATCCAAATTGAGGTCAGTTGTAGACAAATTGGTCTTAAAACATAACACCAAGTTCACCTTAGCAGAACTAGACAGACACAAAGGAACACATACCATTTCTTCCCGGGTTCTCATCCTCATCATTTTTGCACGTAACTGAACTCTGTAATCATCATAGTATTTTCGAGCACGAACAATTTGCTGACGATTTTCTTTTATCTTTGATTGGGTCAACCTTTGTCTATGAATTCGGTCCCTGAAGTCTTGCTGGGGAAGAGAGAATACAAGCAGATGGCCAGCTAGAGCATTCATTTCATCCCCTCAACCTCTCATCGACATCTTCCAGCTGTAAGTGGGCATGCAGGAAAGACTACTAAATGGCCACACAAGCTCACTGTAGCTTCTCCTCAATCTGAAGAGCAGTACTGACAGGCCCGCCCCAGTGTGCAGAGTGAATAGGCCCTGAGCCTGACTGTATGTAGGTCAGACGTTCTTGACTATAGTAAAGATGCACAGGCAATTTTGGAGATGGTGGGTTTTTTTTTAAATACTTAGTTATTTATTATGTATACAATATTCTGTCTGTGTGTATGTCTGCAGGCCAGAAGAGGGCACCAGACCTCATTACAGATGGCTGTGAGCCACCATGTGGTTGCCGGGAATTGAACTCAGGACCTTTGGAAGAGCAGGCAATGCTCTTAACCACTGAGCCATCTCTCCAGCCCTGGAGATGGTGTTTTTGAAACCAAGATTAGCATTTCCATGACTTAAACCACTCTACACCCTGCTAAAGATTTTAAAATCTCTTAACTCAATATCAGACTGACCTGCCATTTCCCTTCACAATACTAACTGGGGACAACATAAATGATTTCCAATCCCAATTATAACAAAAACTAAACTGGCTCTCTACCTGGGAGCTGAGAAGACAGGAGACCAAAGAGCACTACGCTACAACTCCTAAGCCCTAGATGGACCATGGCAGTAGAGACAGAAATGGAATAAAATCTCAATTGTGCCTTTTGATTATCAGAAAGCCAGGCAAGTCATATTACATCTGAAGGCCTAGGTTTTCATCTCAGAAAATACCATCTCTAATTTGTTACTATAAAGAAGTGAAAAGCAGCCAGATGGCAGGGATGAAAAGAGTGTTCTGCAGCCAACTGGTAGGTGTGTTTTCAGTGCGGTGTCCCTGGAAGGTGGCATGTATCTCCTCCATCATCAATTTTGAGTTAAAGCCCTGGATAGATTACTCCCACAGGCAAGCGCTAGAAGTCATTTGCCTTGTTGGTACAAATAAAGAAAAAATTATACTGCCCAGTTTGTTCTTGACATACCAATCTCTTGTTATGGTCATATTCCTTCTTGACAAGGGCAGTAAGGAGGTCATGCCTTCTCAGGGCTTCTTCTATCTTTAAGGTGAACACAATGCAAGGTTAATAATGCTGTTCAAGGACATGCTCTCCCCGCGAGTGTTCGTTTGCTTCAAAGGGACAGCAGCTTACTTCATCCTGGAGTTTCTTCTTGGATCGGTTTTCTCTCTGTGCTTCTCTTTTGAGTTGTTCAACCTGTGTGATTTGCTGCTTCCACATTTTGGTGAGCGTTGGGTCAGAAACACAGAGAAATGGAAACTGTTCCAGCATCAGGGGCAGAAGGCTGTGTTCATTCACTTTCACTGTGAGACAATGAGAGATGCTGCAACTCTAACGGGCTTGCTGCGCCCTCACCCCCATCTGTCTACGAAACCAAGCTAATCTCAGGTGCTGGCCCTAGGACCATCTGCAGTATACTGGATACTCTGCATCCCTACTAAGGATGGAAAGCTCAGTAGTTCTGACCCTAATTCCGAGGAATCCATCATCTCTTTAGGGGCCTCGGGACCTGTGGGTAGATGCCTCCTGTGTGTGAAAACAGAAGACACTCCAACTTCCTGGTGGGCATATGGTTAGAAGAAAAGGCCCCTAATAGGATGTAGTTGGAAGCCTGGCATTTCACCTGACCTTGTTTCCTTGCAACACAGCTCTGACTCAGCAGCACCACCTGTCATCTTATAGAGGCTGAGCAGGCCATCTGCTTGCCTTGGAGCATCACCTGTCTTCTACCAACTTCCCAGAAACAAACAGAGCAACCAATGAAAACAGGGGGCCAGAATGAGTGAGCAGAGAGGCTCCCACTGGAGCAGCAGCAAGTGCCCTGGCAATTCTTTTGGTATCCATAGATGTCTCCCTAAGGCACCTCTTAGGAGTTTGGTTCTGGTTACAGAAAAACCGAGCCATATGGCAGTAATACAAGGGTCTTTCTGCAGCCAACTGGAGGATGTCTGTTTCCAGCAGCCTCTGGAATGCAGCATTCATATCCAGAGGCTGTGGCTGCCATGAAGGACATTGGAGGCTCTTACTCGGAGATGCCTTGCTTGACTTCAGAAAACCAGCTTTTGGACTTGGAGCTGCAGTTTTTCTGGAGTAAATCTTCTGGACCTGACTCTGTTTTGGAGTTCCTTTAGAAATGGCTTCTCTGTGTGTTTTTTCCTTAGAGGCAGATAAAAGGGCAGAATAAGGAAGGGGTCAAAAAACCCTTTTATGCAATCATGTCAACACACTGACATTGTGGCTAACTAACCTTAGCCAACCACACTATTAATCTTGTTTTCTCTCCCCACCAACTGGCTTCCCTCCCGGCTTTAGTAACCATAGTCCCAAACCCTAAATATAACTACTATTGAAATTTTCATGTGCTAGTTTCTTTGACAACCTTTTCTCTGAATATTCAAAAACTTAAGTGACTAGAGAGATGGCTCAGAGGTTGAGAGCACTGACTGCTCTTCCAGAGGACCTGGGTTCAATTCCCAGCACCCACGTGGTGGCTCACAACTGAACTACAGTTCCCGACAGCTTTATACAGGCTTACACACACAGGAAAAACAATAACGCACATAAAAAAAAATATTTAAAAAAACCCTCAAGCAGTTGCACAGTATGTTCTAAGTCTGTGGTGCCTCAGTCCGGCTTTTATTAGCACACCAGAATCCGCACTCCCCTGCTCTCATTTGATTCGGGAACCACTGGTTCTTGGTTTGTTTGTTTTTCTTTTTTGGGGGAATTTTTGTTTGTCTGTTTGTTTTGAAACAAGATCTGTTTAGTCCACGTTGTCCTGGAACTCATTATGTAGACCATGCTGCACAAACCACAGATACCCTCCTGCTTCTGAAGCCTCCCAAGTGCTGGTATTAACAGTGCGCACCTCCACACCCGGCTGGGAACTTCTGAGGGGCAGAAAGCAAGGCCTTGGGTTTCTTACAGTCAGGTACAGAGTGCTTGGAATCCTGTCTCCCCTTTCTCCTCTGTCACCTAGATCCTATTTTAACCCTTTACAAACTGGGTATGAAAGAATCTTTGAGGCCAAACAAAATCTAGGCAGAAAGAAAGACATGAGTCCTCTTTGACAGCATTTGCTCTTGTGTCCGCAACCTAACTACTCCACGAGTCTGAGGAAATCCTGCCTTCTCTGAGCTAATGACTCAGGCCCGCTGGTTCCCTGTCCCTTTAAAAAGGCCATCTCTGTACTTTTCACTATCTTTGCATTTATTAGAGCTGGAGATTTTTACCCACTGTTTCCTCCTCCTCTTCATCATCACTTATCCCTCGAAGTCCAATGTTCTCTTGAACTTTATTTTTTCTTAGTTCCCTTTCAAATGCTTCAGTTAGTGCCTAGAAAGAGTAAGGTCATATAGCAGTGGTCAGAAACATGTGCAAATCTAAATGAAGGGGAAAAAGGATCTAGATTCCTATTCTAAAAATACCAGGTTCATTCCCTTTTCCTAAGTTCCTTTTAGGCTGCTTCATAAAAACACATTGTGCTAACAGATATAATCGGTACGTAAAATGCCACTGAATGGTTTTTCTTTTTACTATTATTTTTATTTTACTATTATATTATAATGGTTTTTCTTTTTACTATTTTCACAGGTTTTATAATTATGATACTCCTGAGAGAAGTTACATGCTGAGTATGTATGTATATATATATATATATATATATACACACACACATATATATATATATATATATATTTAACTCTATGTGTGCCTCAATCAGTCCCCACCCTCTTTTTTAATACAGCATCTCTTACTGAATCTTATTGAACCTGGGGAATAGACTCCAGTCCTCATGCTGTACAGCAAGCCCCTGAGGATAACTATTTTAAGACATCTGAATTAACTCCAGTTTTCACCATTTTAAATGTAACTACATTATAAAAATCTACTATGCCAGGCGTTGGTGGTGCACACCTTTAATCCCAGCACCAGGGAGGCAGAGGCAGGTGGATCTCTGAGTTTGAGACCAGCCTGGTCTATATAAAAAGTTCCAGGACAGCCAGGGCCATATAGAGAAACCTTGTCTCAAAAAACAAACAAACAAAAAAACAAAACAAAAAACCCACAAAATTAAACAAAAAACACTACAGCAGACAACTAAGTGTTCTAAATTTATGGATTTCAAAATCTCTGTCCCACGTGGCATCCTCCCTGTTAATGATATCAGAAATGATGGAGCCCTTTAAAAAAAAAGTGCTTTTTTACATTTTTATGTGTATAGGTGTCTTGCCTGCATGCATGTCTGTGCACTGTGTGTCTGCCTGCCTGGTGCTTGTGGAGGTCAGAAGAGGGCATCGGAGCCGCTGGAACTCGAGTTACGATAGTTGTGAGCCGCCATGTGAGTGGTGGGAATCATACCTGGGTCCTCTTAAAAGCTGAGTTCCCAGTCACCTCCTTTATAGGGTAGCTTTCTCTTCCCAGTGAATCTTTCCTAACTCCCTTTACCTATGACTTCTTTCTGAAAATACCAGGCCACATCAACCTCCTCTTTCTTCATCCACTGAATAGCCAGGTTATTTTTTTGATGATTTCATGACTGTATCTCTAATGCTATATTACATACACTATATTACATAATTCTCTGGCGTCTATTCAACTCAGGCACAGTGGATGCACCTTAGATCTTTGATCTTTGGTCAATGGTGTGTATGCTCACTGTAGGGTCCAACTGAGGAGAAATAGTATTTGCTGCTGCCAACGTGAAGCCAAGGAATGAGGGCGTACCTTTGCTTGGAATCGGCGGGTCTCTGTTCCTTTAGACCTGTGCTGCTTCTTTCTCTCTTTCTCTAATTGTTTATGTTTGTTTACTGAAGATGGGGACAGTGAATGGGACCTGTAAGCTGCCTTTCTGTACATGGAAAATCCTGCAACAGAAAAGCCATTCACTATTAGTTCTTGGCAGTCAGAAATGTTAAGCCTGAAACTGAGCAATTGGTTCTAACTGAATCTAAAGAAAATAAAAATGACAAGCTAATGTGCTAAATGTATTCTCTTCTAATACGCAGTTGTGTGTTTAGTCATACCAAGTAAACAGACTGTTAGGGATAGGGAGGGAAGTGCTTGCTGTGTAAGCATGTATAGATCCCCAGCACGCATGTAAAAAGCTGGGTGTGACAGTGTATCTCTATCTTAGTCGCCAGCCAACCTCACTAAATCTATGGGTTCCTGGTTCAGTTAGGTGAACCTGTCCCAAAATACAACAGAGAGAGTAAAGAAGGAAGAAACCTGATGTTGATCTCTGGCCTCCACATGCATGTATATGCATGTGCATATGTGCACACGAACACACACAAATATGTACTGCTAAGTACATAAGTATTGCTTATTCAACTTCAGGCTGACGGAGTTTGTGAAATATATGCTATGCACAAGGTTCCGTGGAAAGGAAGTGCTCTTGGTCCTACGGCGAGTAACATGTGGACTATGTGTCCATGAGTCTTTTACCTGTCTGGGTCCTGAGGATGGAATGTAAACGCGTACACAGAACTTATGGCATGCTAACTGAAGCAAAGGTAACCTGGCTAAACACTGTGACCACTAATGAGCAGTACCACTCATTCTGCTAATGGGCACTGGATTCAGCTAAACAGCAGCTCAAATGGATGGACTGAATGTTTAAACAACAACGAACATCTCCTAGGTGATGGTAACAAAATGAAGAAGTTTGTAGGATGTATAGTGTCAGCGTAGATTACAGCAAGAAAATGCACATATTTAGACAAGTAATTATAAGCTGTGACAGTATAGAAATATCAGTAAGCGGGGGCTGGAGAGATGGCTCAGAGGTTAAGAGCATTGCCTGTTCTTCCAAAGGTCCTGAGTTCAATTCCCAGCAACCACATGGTGGCTCACAACCATCTGTAATGGGGTCTGGTGCCCTCTTCTGGCCTGCAGGCATACACACAGACAGAATATTGTATACATAATAAATAAATAAATATAAAAAAAAATAAATAAATAAATAAATAAAAATATCAGTAAGAAACAACACCAACTTGAGTTTGCTATTAGTTTTGATTCTTATATAAAATGAAACTGCCATTAACACATAGAACTACCTGAGAAGTTATCCTTCCTGAACACCTCATTCCAGGTCTGTCTGGGTTACATACCTGGCCTAGGCTTCTTCGGTCCATACTCCATGATGCTGTCACTATGCTGCGACAGTATCTCCTCATATCCACTGTGCACCTCTTCATCTCCAGTGTCACCATCTTTACCATCAGTCTTGTCTGTCGCTCGATCACCCAGGGCAGTTTTTAACATCTATTGAGAAAATCTTTTCAGTATCTGTCCTTGACTTCAATGGGAAATGAAGCAGAAGTGAACAGGCCTTCTAAAAGTTGTCTCTGACAGCCGCTAAGACCAAGCTTTAGAAACGTATGCACAGTATCTTATACACCTACGGCTTTTATTGCATCTATTTTATGTATTTATTTTGAGATAGGATTTCATCGTGCAAACCAGGCTGGCCTGGAACTCAGCGTCTTTTGAGAGGTATGGTGAAGGTCTGCTTTATAGTAACATTTAAAGCATGGGTAGACACACTTTTGACCTTAGGCAGGAAAATTACAGCAAGTTTAAGGACAGCCTGGCCTGTGTAGAAAGTTCTAGACCATCTAGGACTACATAGTGAGACTCTGTCTCAAAACAAACACCAAAAAGCGACAAAAGGAAAGAGTGGTCTCAGCGCTGTAAACCACTCCATTCAGTGAGTTCACAGAAAGCCGCACAGGTTTGATGCAGTCACTCAATGTCGTTACCCCACTACTTGAGAACTTTTAATCCAATTTTATACCACATTTGTCCTTGTGACGAAAGTGTGTACAGATGGATCTAAAAATGAATGTTTAACAATTACATTAAATGACTCCATTCTCATCAAAATTCAATAAAATTTAGATAAATCTGTATGCCACATTTGGCTATATAAGGAAGGCGAGGAGCCACTGTCTGTGTCCTTCCTGCTCGACTTGCGAAGCTTTCTAACAGAACACACAGCCCAGCCCTTACCTACACCTAGGTTTCCTTCCTGCTGGAAGATCAGTGTCCTCCCCTGAAAGACTAACCACAGAATCTCAACCACGGTTAAAAGTGGCGACTTGCCCAGTCTAGCTCAGAGAGCCGCTGAGACAGCTTCTCTGACACCGCGTGCAGCTCTTGTTCTGTCAGCCGTGTCCTGGCCTTCTGAGGGAAGGGCGAATACTGTGAGGAGACCACAGCTCTGTTCTCATTTCTGTAAAAAAGTGGCCAATGACAATTAACTGCTAAGAACATACTACTTATTTCAAAATGACTAATACACACTTTAACAAATACTTTATACTGGTTCTCAAATGCTAAATTTGTAAAGTATGTTCTTTTAAAAAAGTACTATTTATCATTGGGGGAGTGACTTGTCACAGAGTATGTCTCCACCCACTTTACATGGGTTCCAGGGATCCATCTCGGGTCAACAGGCCCTTCCTGGAAGCTGTCTCATCAGCCCCTTTGCTTTTCAGATCCCTTTACACTAGACTGTAAGCCCACAACAATGTTACCTTTTCCCTTTAGGAAGCTTCTTTGTCCTGGGGCTTGGAGTCAGAGCTAGACATGATTCCTGTTCATCATCTTTAGATAATGTGGAAGTTAAGACAGCTTTATCCTTTGATTCCTATTCAAACAGAAGAAAGCTGGTTTGAGACACTGAGATGGCTCACTTAGTAAAGAGCTTGCCACACCAGCACCAAGACACCAGAAACTCTCCAGAAACACTCGAAACAAAGATGAAACCCTCCAAAATATAAATGCTTGGCATTTCTAATAGCTTATTTCTTAACCTTGGAGGGAACAGTCTAAAAAATACTTATTTTGGTTTTCTTCCCCTTTGAAGAGAGGGTTTTATAGCTAGTCTGGAACTCACTAAGTGGCCCAGGCTTGACCCTCCCTGTTCTCGCGTCTGTCAAGGACGGGCTGCAAGCGTGTGACAGCACAGCTGTGGCACAGCACCGCTCATCTGACGTGTGACAGCTGCAATAATTCTGCTTTATTAGCGTTCTCTGTTTGGGGTTTATTTGTTTGTTTGTTTGCTTGGTTGATTTTTTTTGAGACAGGGTTTCTCTGTGTAGCTTTGGAGCCTGTCCTAGAACTCACTCTGTAGACCAGGCTGGCTTTGAACTCACAGAGATCTGCCTCTGCCTCCCGAGTGCTGGGATTAAAGGTGTGTCACCACCGCCTGGCTCATTACCTCTCTCTTAAATGGGTTATTTTCTAGTAAATATATGCACACATATGTATGTATGTGAGTGTGTATACATATATGTGTAAACATACATATTTGGCTTTTTGAGACTGAGTTTCTCTGTGTAGCCCTGGCTGTCCAGGAACTCACTTTGTAGACCAGAACTCAGAGATCTGCCTGCTTCTGGCTGAGCACTGTGATTAAAGGTGTGTGGTGCCATGCCTGGTACCATTATCTGCATCTTAAAATAATGAGATCATTCCTTACAGGTTTGTCTACCCTGGCACATATATGCCTGGTTTTCTCAGGAAGTTAGGAACAAGATGACAATATGAAAAAAGAACTTTTTCTCAAGGAGAGAAGCAAAAATAGACTAAGATATTAAGTTTTTATATTAATCAGTGAGAATATGGGTGGATTGTTCTTTCCTTTCTGATTTGTAAGGATTTAATTAGGATTATACAACTTGGGCTCTGCAGTTGCCGTGTCACCGGAGCTCACGTCTCCAGGCTGGCTTTCCCACACACGTGCAGCATCTGCTTCCCACACACGTGCAGCATCTGCTTTCCCACACACGTGCAGCATCTGCTTTCCCACACACGTGCAGCATCTACTCACAGCTGCTTTGAAGAATAAATCATCTAATATCTATAACGTACCTGGAACTGTACTTAGCAAAAACAAAAGCATTCTCTACGTGTTGGCTCTCTTTTCCTATGCTCTTCCTGTCCCTATCTGCCTAGGAGAAGAGCCTACAAGGAGACACAGAGGCCATCTTTTTCCTTTTAAGAATTATTTTACTACTTTGTGGATGTGGATGTTTTGCCAGCATGTATGTCTGTGCAACACATGTGTAGGTGCCCTCGGAGGCCAGAAGAAGGTGCCCGATCCTCTGGAACTGGAGTTATAGACAGTTGTTAGCTGCCATGTGAGTACTGGGAATCAAACCTGGGTCCTCTGGAAAATCAGCCAGGTGCTCTTAACCACTGAGCCATCTCTCTAGCTCCAAATTTTTTGTTTTGTTTTCTTTTTAAAGACAGGGTTTCTTGTAGCTGGGGATGAGTGTGCCTTTCTATCTTCTTGCCTCTATACCCTGGGGATTATAGGCATGCACCACCACACAGGGTTTACAGGGGCGGAGAGCTGTGCTTTCTAGGCAGGCACTCTGCCAGTTAGGATCATCCCCAGCCTACTGAGGGAAATTTTAAGTATGATGCACCTTTATTCCCAGCACTCGGGAGGCAGAGGCAGGCAGATCTCTGTGAGTTCAAGACCACAGGGTCTCACTATGTAGACCAGCCTGGCCTCAAATTCCCAATGATCCTTCTCGTAGCTTCCCAAGTGTTATGATGGCAGGTATGTGTCTTTGATTAATGTAATATACTTGATAACCATTCTACGGAGACTTCTATCTTTAAGTAGATAGACTTCGGGGCTAGAGGTACAGATCAGTGGGACCGGGTGTGCTCAGAATATACAAAGTTCTGGGTTCAATCGCCAGCAGCAAAAGTAAGTAATCTATGGGCTTCTCACCAATGATAAGACCTTTCCACTTACCACAGAAAGTGCCGAATGCTCTCCAGAAGTCAGGGCAGACGAGTAGAGACTTGAACGGAGGTATTCCTTCCCTATGGGACAAGGTGCTCGAGGCTCAGAAGGATGGTAGGGAGGGTGTAAGGGGATGGCAGCTCGGATTGGCTCACCTAATTTTCTGGCACTTGTAACCATACTCACAGGAGGAGTTTCTGCAGCTAAGAAAAATTAAAGTGGATCTCATAAAGGAATTCTTGAAAATAAATGATTTTACATACACATATACAAACATAGTCACACATACTAAGGGAATTTGTGTGTGAGATGCTGGGGTGAACCCAAGGGCCTCATGTATAGACAAATTCTAGTCCACTGAACTCTAGCCCCAGGCCAGGAATGACTATCTGATTTGTTTTGTTTTTGAAAGAGGGTCTCACGCTACAACAGCCTTACTGTCCTAGAACTCACTCTATATTCCAGGCTGTCCTCAAACTGCACAGCAGTCACCTCCTCAGCTTCCCCAGTGCTAGAATTACATGCATCGGCCACCAGACTCAGCTTAGGAATATGTTTTTAATGTAATTAAAACAGGGCATGTGGACTGGTGAGATGGCTCAGCAGGCAAAGGTGTTTGCTGCCTGCCAATTCAGATGACCTGAGTTCAGTCCCCAGGACCTACAGTGGAAAGAGACACCAAACTCCTACCAGTTGCCCCGGATCTACATACTGGCACCACGGCATCTTCACACACATGGCTGCAGTAGTGTAAAGAACTCAAAGCCATAACAACTCACCTTCAAAAGTTGTCCCGTTCTTGGATAAGAAACTCGATGAGATGGGGTTCAACACTTCCTCACATGGTTCAGAGTCTGGTGATGTTGAAACTTTTCTAGACTGCAAGTCCATGGAACTTTGAGCACCTAGGAAGAATCTTAAAGCTAAAGTTTTAAACTATCAAAGTAGTTTGCGAAATAACTAAAAGCCAGTAGGAGCACCATGTTCAAAGGATCTTTGTCCCAACTGCCCATGATACAAGTACCTTGAACAACTGTCATATAGCAAGAGGCAATTCTCCACAGCCTGAGCACACTTTTATCAATGCTGCATTACTTTGCTTTAGAGAAATAGGTGCCAGATGCAGAAATGCCACTGTATGAAGTCAGAGTTGTGGCTAGTACCACTACCTAAAACTCAGGGTTCCGAAACTGATGCCTGAACGAGATGCATGTGAAAGTGAATGACAGCTGACATCTTAATCTAAATATAAAAAGGAAGCTGCCCTTTAATCACAGGAAACCCAAACATCATATCCTGTCTTTCTTTTTATTCTTGTTCTTTAAGTTTTAATTAAAATTTTAGTTAAAAAATTTTCCCATAATTGTATTGATTACTCTGAGCTCTATATAATCTGAAACAAGTAATAGGTTGCATACCCCATATCTAAAATGCCTGGCCCACAAGTGTTTAGGATTTTGGAAATATGTACATAGACAAAGTGATCTTTATTAGAGGGAGGACCCAACTGACTCATGTTTCATAGGTGCCTTAGCACACAACCTAAAACATTTCTAATGCTCCTATGCATAGTGACTTGTCGTTGTAGTCAGAACTGGAATCTTTTTCTGTATTCTTTTTGTTGTTTTTAGACAGGGTGTCTACACAGCTCTTGCTGTCCTGGAACTCAAAGTGTAGACCAGGCTGATCTCTAACTCACAGAGATCCTCCTGTCTCTGACTCCTGAGTACTAGGACTAAAGGCACGGACCACTACACCTGGCCAGTTTTTCTTCCTTTATTCTTGAGAATTTTATATATGTGTATCTCTCAGATAGGATCACTATTGCTGTGATGAAACACCATAACCAAAAGCAACCTGGGGAGGAAAGGGTTTATTTCACTCACAGTTCCATACAACAATTCATCATCGAAAGCAGTAAAGGCAGGAAGCTCAAGGCAGGAGCTAACTAACGCAGAGGCCATGGAGGGGTTACTTACTGCTTACTCAAGGTTAGGCTAGGGTTCTCGTGGCTTGCTCGGCCTAATTTCTTATAGAACCCAGGACCACCAGCCCGGAAGTAGCTCCACTCAACATGGGCTGGGTCCTCCTCCATCAATCACTAATTAAGAAAATGCCCTACAGGCTAGCCAATAGCCACATCTTATGGAAGCATCTTCTCAATTGAGGCTTCCTCCTCTCTGATAACTGCAGTTGGTGTCAAGTTGACATAAACTAACCAGCACAGGATACAATAAAATATGAACCGAGTACCCCTGCAACTCCCTAACTTTTTATATTTTATTCATTTTTGTGCGTAGGGTACCAAGGAGTGCATATGAAGAGCAGAGGATAACCTGTGATCATGTAGCCCACTCTAGACTCCCCATCCCTTCCCTTCTGTCTTTTGGTCTGCTGCTGTCCCTTTGATTAGGACTCTCTGGGATCAGAGTATTAATGCTGACAGGGCCCATAGAGGTGGTTTAGTTCAATTCTCTCATCAAACTCAGAAAAGGCCTTGTCCAAAGTCACAAAGCCAACAGCTGTGAGAACGAAGGCCTCTTGATTCTCAATTTATTCTACTTAGTTCTACAATAGCCTCCTCGTCACTCCATTCAGAAACATACTTACTGTGGCCTGTATTTTGCCAAGTTCTGACAGGCTAAGATAAACAATAGTTTTATTATACATTTCACTGATTTATCTTGACGCACAAACTGCCAGTGCCATGAAGGCAGGCTCTGTGGCTGTTCTGGTCACACGCTATCACCAGGGAAGACACAGAATCAGCACTCGATGGATAAGTGTGACCTGGCTACTTTTCCAGGAACTCGGTGTTTACCTAACAGACTGTAATTTTCCACACAGTGTATGAGCTGTGTTCCGGAAATACAGAGAAGGCCACACCATAGGAACACTGCCTTAGAGCCTGACACAGGTGGAAGAGGCTGGCACAGGAGCCAGAGCCTGCCAGGAATAGGAAGGACAGATGGAGCAATGTGATGGCAGAGAAGAATGCCAGCTAAGATAGACCAGGAGGTAGAAGAGCTGAAGGAGGCCCAGTGGGGTGCACAACTGGAGCCTGAGAGACACTCTGTGTGCAAGCAATAGACTGCTGGACACGTGGCTGAATCATTACTACCAGGACTATGACCTTGTCAGTTTAAACCCTAAAAAGTAAGTGGACCAGTTCAGAAAATTATAACCGAGTACTCCAAAGGCGTGAATAAGTTCGAAGCTGCATCCATAATTTTCCATATAATTTGCCTGACAGATTGTACGACAGCTCTGCGTGCACATACTGTGCATGAGCCTGTGACCTCACACAGTGATGATGGCAGACAGCCGCGCATATTTAGTGGGCAATGGGGATACTCTGTGACTTTTTTTAAATATTTATTTATTTATTATGCATACAATATTCTGTCTGTGTGTATGCCTGCAGGCCAGAAGAGGGCACCAGACCTCATTACAGATGGTTGTGAGCCACCATGTGGTTGCTGGGAATTGAACTCAGGACCTTTGGAAGAGCAGACAATGCTTTTAACCTCTGAGCCATCTCTCCAGCCCTACTCTGTGACTTTAATGCAGATGTCTAACTGGGGCTCTATTCAGCTCAACTTTAAGTTATATGATTCTACTTTTTTTCCTTTTTTCTTTGGTTTTCTCTGTGTAACCCTAGCAGTCCTGGAATTCGTTCTGTAGACCAGGCTGGTCTGAACTCACAGAGATCTGCCTACATCTGCCTCCTGAATGCTGGAATTAAAGGCGTGAGCCACCACCATGTGGCATTTTTTTTTTTTGATGATTCTACATTTTTGTGCTTGTGTGTTGAATGACAACTGATATTGAATGTTTGTCTACTCACCGTTACTTCTTAGGGAAAAGGTGTGTGCAGTGTCTCCAAGCCTAATTATTTCACCTGTGGATTCAGCATCATCTCCATCCCAGGTGGGCCCCAACGCATCAGATGAGAAGGAACACCTGAAAAAGGAAGGTCTCGCTCTCACTATGGCCTGTTTGCCTACAGAGAGTGCTTCAAACACTGACTGTGGGCTTACAGGCATTCAGACTGCTCATTCCTGGGTGCACAGACTAGGGCTTTGGATGTAGTCCAACAATTTAGCACTTGCCTACAATGGCCCTTGGCTTATTCCCAGAAAGGAGGGAAGAAAGGAAGAAAATTACTTTCTCCTCTTATCTGTTTGGTTTGAGTGTTATATGCAACACTATATGTAGAAACAGTCTCGTGTATCAAGGATTAAAAGGATAGCAAACACTGTTGAATCTAATGCTGCAGCATTCAGGAGTCTGGGTAAGGTTTCACTTTTGCAGCAAATTTGTTGTTGTTGTTGTTTTGTTTTGTTTTGTTTTGTGACACAGGGTTTCTCTGTGTAGCCTTGGCTGTCCGGCTATCCTGGAACTCACTCTGTAGACCAGGCTGATCTTGAAATTACAGCGATCCCGCTGTCTCTGCCTCCTGAGTGTTAGGATTAAAGGTGTGCACCACTACTAGAAGAGCAAATATTTTTAAGAGCTGGGGAAAGAGTTCAGGTGGTGGAGTGCCAGCCTACCATACAGAAAGCCCTGGGTTCAATTCCCAGTACAGAACAGAACTGGACGTAGTGTTGCAGGCCTGTAATCCTAGTACTTGGGAGGTAGAGGCAGGAACATCGTAAATTCAATGTGGCCCATCCTTGACTACATACCAAGTTCCGCACCAGCCTGAGTTACAAGTATTTCAAAAAAGGATTTTTTTTAAATCTCAAATAGTTTCACTTTTGCTCTTTTTGTTTTGTTTTTAAATTTAATAATGAAAAAGTTAAAAATTTCATGAACTGAGCATGGTAACTAAAACCAGCACGAGACAAAGGGCAAGAGAAAGGCCGTGAGTCAGAGGCCAGCTACTGGGGCTACACTGTAAATTCAAGGACAACCCAGTACACATAGTAAAACCGTCTCTTAAAAAAATGAGGTAGGAAAGCCAGGCGGTGGTGGAAGAATAGGTAGGCAGATCTCTGTGAGTTCGAGGCCAGCCTGGTCGACATCGCGAGTTCCAGGACAGGCACCAAAGCTAATCAAAGAAACCCTGTCTCAAAAAACAAAACAAAACAAAACAAAACAAAAAAAAATGAGGTAGGGGCTGGGTGTGTGCACACACCTTTAATCCCAGCACTTGGGAGGCAGAGGCAGGCAGATCTCTTAAGTTTGAGGCCAGCCTGGTCTACAGAGTGAGTTTCAGGGCAGTCAGGACTACACAGGGAAACCCTGTCTCGAAAAATAAACAAATCTGTAACATTTTGAAGGTGGAGGCAAGAAGATCAGTTCAGTCATGCTCAGTTACATAGTGAGTTCAAGGCCAGCCCAGGTTATATAAGATCTTGTCTCAAAAATAAAAATTGATGATCAAAGAAAAATTAAAAATTAATAGGTAGTTAAATTGAAAATTAGCATTAAATTATTAAATAGAGTTCAAGGTTCTTAAAACTCCCTCAGAAAGGTAGAAAAGAAGCTAGTAAAATGTTCACATCAGCTTTAGGACCATAAGTATGCTGGGCTTCATCTTAGACGATTAAGTGTGATCTGCTTGATGACATTCACAGGCACACTACCTCCCAAAAGAAACTCTTTTCCATGATGACTTGGACTCCTTGATACTCTCTAGCTCATCCACGGGTTCCTCTCCATGAGAGTCTTGAAAATACTGCTCAGTTTCACCTGTTTAAACAAGACAAAAACGAACAATAATTGATACCCCAGCCTGTCGTGAGTCAGAGTGAAATGATAAAGAAGCAAAACAAACACCGTCTGCAGTGAGTCTCCTAGAAAACAAACAAGCCCAGGCTTTCATTGCAAGGAGCCTGCTCGCCAGCTACTACAACATTTTATTACTGCTGTGTGTAGGGGCATGCGGGAGCTTGTGTGCCACAATACAAGTGTGGAGGCCAGAGTTATTTCTCTTCTTCCCTGGGGTTCTGGGGTTGGGATTCAGATGAGCCACACCTTTCCAATCTTCTCTACAGCTTTATGTCATTTTAGCTACTGATTAAAAATAGGGCACTGGGACTAGCGTCTGGAGACTGACCTCAGGTACCAAAGTCTCTGCACAGGTCTCACTGACAACAGCAGAATTTGCAAGGACGAGTGTACCCAGGCCTTTTGTTTTAACTGGTATTAGAATTCATGTTCATTACTATTTCTGCTAAAACTTTCTGTTTTAACTCCGCTGTACAAGAACAGGTCATGTGTTATTCCATCCATTACCAATGGAATCGTTTACTCCACAGTTGTTAAGCTGCAGCTTCTTCTTTTTTTCTAAATATTTACTTATTTATCTATTATGTATACAACATTCTGTCTGTGTGTATGCCTGCAGGCCAGAAGAGGGCGCCAGACCCCATTACAGATGGTTGTGAGCCACCATGTGGTTGCTGGGAATTGAACTCAGGACCTTTGGAAGAGCAGGCAATGCTCGTAACCTCTGAGCCATCTCTCCAGCCCTCAAGCTGTAGCTTCTTGCTGGATATGGTGGTACATGCTCAGCACTCCAGAGGCAAATTTCAAGCGCTTAACTGTCTTTAGTATCACTTCCTTAGGATAAGTTACTAGATACACAATTTATCAAAAGTGAGAAACTGATTTTAAAGTATGGCAATACTGATCTTCATGAAAGAAATTTCTCATAGTAAGTCTGAAGTGGGTTGCTCCAAGAGTAAGATTAAAAATATTCAGGCTATCACAAAATGCCAGTTTAGGCTCAAGATTGACTAATGACGTACCAGTAACCCTGCAGATGCCTCAGTAACATCCTCACTAGATGCATGATGGTCGTTCTGACAGGAAATTAAGGAACAAGAGATTTCATGTAATAATAAGACAATAAGTAATTCAACTTTCTATTATTGATTGGTTGTATTTTAAAGGCCACATCCAAGTTAGCAAAGAATATAATGGGAGTCTAGGATAGGCTCTAACTATTCAGAACAGAAAGAATTGGAAATTTATTATGACATTTACCAGCATTTTGTATTCGAGATTCTGTTTCCTAAAAGCAATGGGCAAGCTGGCCTCCACCCTTAAACTTACTTTTATTGTGAGACGTTTCACTGATGTGTTCTGTCAGATACTCCAATAATCCATCAAATATTTCTAGGAGATTCTTGATAGATTCTTTATCCCCTTTCACTATGTTTTCTCCTAAACACAGAAGACAGAGATTTTAAGACATTTAAAAAGGAAAGCAGAAAGCCTCACTGTTATTACTTTAACTATGTAAAGATATGTTAATTTCTTTATGTTGCAGACTATTACTTTAACTATGTAAAGGTGTGTTACATTTGTTTATGCTGCACTTGTTTAACAAGGTACCTGATGGATCTAATAAAAAGCTGACTGGCCAATAGCTAGGCAGTAGAAGGACAGGTGGGGCTGGAGGACAGAGAGAATTAGGAGGAATCTAAGCTCAGAGAATAAACAAGGGAAAACAAGAGGGAGATGCCTGAGGCCAGCCAGCCAATTAGGCAGCCACCAGTCAGCCAGATGCGAAGTAGGGCATACAGAAGGAAAGAAAGGTAAAAAGTTCTGAGGCAAACATAGACGAAGAGAAACAGGTTAATTTAAGTTATAAGAGCTAGTGGGACAAGCCTAAGACTGAACATCATAATTAATAATAAATCTCTGTGTCTTTATTTGGAAGCTGGTTGGTGGCCCCAAAGAAAGCCTATAAACTTTGAAATGAATATATGAATGCTATTTGAGAATACAGGTATAAACCAAGGAAAAACAATTATAAGTATCAAAAACATCCGTTTCCTGTTGATTATCGCTGAAGAAACAAGGGATGGGGGCGCCTGAGTGTGGTATTTAATCATTTGCTGGCATGTTCTTTTTTCTAGCAGCTAAGTACCTGGCCTAAGGAACAGCCTCTGGGGCAGCAGTTCTCAACCTATGGGCCAAGACCCCTTTGGGGGATCTCAAATGTTTACATTACAATTCATAACAGTAGAAAATTACAGTTATGAAGTAGCAACAAAAGTGATTTTATGGTTGGGGGTCACCACGAGGAGGTGTACTATAGGGTCACAGCAATAGAAAGGTTAAGAACCACTGCTCTAGGGAAATGGCCTCCAAAACAGAAAACAGCAGAGACCTTTCCAGTAGCTAGTGAAAGAATAGCGTAAGCCCGTGGCACCTGCTCATCGAGGCTGCACTCTGAAAAGTTACAAGATGGACAACTTGTTGGGATGCTTCTTCCTTCCATCAGGAATCTCTGTTCTTATATCTACTTACTTTGTGTAAGTTGAACCATTTTTCCTTTTTTTTTTTTTTTACACCTTGAGACAGGGTAGTCTCGAACTTTCTATACAGTAGAGGGTAACCTTCAACTCTCATCCTCCTGCCTCCACCTCCCAAATGTTATGAATACAGTCCTGTATCAGTATATCTGGCGTAGATGGTACCGAAGAGCAAAGGCCCTGCTTTCTGCAAGCTAGCCAAGCACTTTCTACCTCTAGTTCCCAGAAGTTAATCTTTGGAAAGTCTCTAGCACAATGCCTGGCCCATAAGAGACCACAGATAAATGTTAAGGTGGGATGTGCAGAAGCAAGAAACATATAAGCCTAATTTGTTTAATGTCATCTAAAATGGATTCTAACCAATATCAAGTCTGGATGGAATTTATCTCCCTGTACTGTCTGTCCTTTGGGAAATTATGCCTGGCATTCAAAAAATACAGCAAAGGAAGGTTCAAAATCTGTTAACTGAGGATCTAGTCATCTACTTTAACCATGACATGAAACAAACCTACACCAGAATTCTGATGCTTTCCTCTGCTGCTGGTAAAAACAAGACAAAATTTGACAGGCTTTTAAATTTTTAAAATAACAGATCAGAAATCATGTTTTCAAGTTCTGTTTTTTTTCTGGCTTAAACGATGTGCTTCCCAAGGGCATACTCAGCCGTCTTCGTTTCCAGGATGGGAGCGCATGACGTCAACCCAGCAACTAGATTGCAGCAGAGCCCAGAGCTCCGAGGTAGGCAAACTGCTTTAAAAGAGAACTAAGCAGTAAGAAGCTGCTCCTCAGTGGACCTGAAGGAGCGGATCTGCCTCTTCTCATCCTGTGCTGTCCAGGCAGCGCTACACCAAAAACCTTACAAACAGGTGTTCTCAGAACCTTGCTCTGGTGTATTCATAAAGCACAAACACCGAGTTGTTCACGGAAACCTGGGTCTATAATCCCAGCACTGAGGAGATGGCGATGGGAGGATTGCCAAGAGTTGGAGGCCAGCCTGAGCTAACTAGTGAAACCAGTGGTCTTACCCCAGGCTAGAATTCGAGAGTCTGCCTTTAAAAAACAAAAAGGGAGCTCAGTGTGCTGACACAAAGCTTTAATCTCAGCATTAGAGATGCAACTGGATCTCTGAATTCTCGGCCAACCAAGGCTACACAGTGAAGCCGTCATCAAACAGACAAACCGGTGACTGTCCTTACTCAGGTGATGAAGTAGTTCCACTGAGTTGCAAGAGCAAGGCAACTCCAAAATCATCCCTCCAAATTAATCACTCCCAAGGTGAGCAAAACCATTTACTCACCTACAACTGAATTAAACAGAACAGTGTATGGCTCCTGCCAGTGTATTAAGAGGCAAACAACCTATCTTAACAACTCCTTGTGGCTCACACCTTTGATCCCAGCACTTGGGAGTCAGAGGCAAGCGGATCGCTGAGTTTGAGGACAGCCTGGTCTACACTGTGAGTTCCAGGACAGGCAGAATTATGTAGGGAGAACCTGTCTCTAAACAAAACAAAACAAAAACAAAAAGAACAGAAAAACATTTACCTCCTTGAAATGTCAAAGCCGTTTTTGTGATAAAATATACTCTGAAGTTTCTATGATTCTCGCTGTTCATGAGCTTCAGCTCCTTTACTAGGATTCTTACCCATCAGTCTGCAATTATGAATGCATGTGGTATGTTTGGTTTTGAATGCAACATAGGGTACCCTATATTATTCAGGAAGAACTCTTAAATTGTGTCTGTGTCTGTGTGTGGTGCTAGAGATTGAACCCAAGGCCTCCTACACTCTAGAAAGCACCCTGCCAATTAAATTATATCACCAAGTATTTTAAGTAGATAACATAGTTCAAAATTTAAAAAATAAAATAAAATCTCAGGGGCTGGAGAGATGGCTCAGTAGTTAAGAGCATTGACTACTCTTCCACAGGACCCGGGTTCAATCCCCAGCAACCACATGGGAGTTAACAATCGTCTCTAACTCCATTTCCAAGTGGACCCAATACCCTTTACATGCTAGCAAAACACCGATACATACAAAATAAAATAAATCTCAAAAAAATTTAAGTTTTAAAATCGTTTAAGGAAAATTCTTATTTGCATGCCCTTTTCAGTATCCATGACAGTCTTGTTTGATGCCACCAGAGTAACATGATTCTGGCATTCTTCTAGGAAGTCTTTCTGAATGCAACCAAGTACATACGAATTCTTACCACGCCTGTTCTAACAAACTGTAGCAAGTGCTATTATCATCAGAAAGAAACATTTTTCTAATGCAGTGTACCCTGAAGGTTGTTTTCTGTAATGTGAAATTGTATAGTAGAATCTCCGCAGTCGTTGCTCATAGTTGTGGAGTGCTGCACTGTAAGGAGCTTCTGTAATCTGATCAGCCCCTAATGTGGACATTTGGGTTCAGGTGTTTCTTTTAACTGCAACAGATATACAGCATGGTATGCTTTAAAACAACATGCATGGTGGTACACACTTTTTTTTTTCCTTTTTGCATTTTTTTTTTTGAGACAGGGTTTCTCTGTGTAGCCCTGGTTGGCCTCTAAGAGATCCACCTGCCTCTGTGTCTGCTTCCCGAGTGCCAGGATTCAAGACTGCATCAGCATGTGGCACACACCTTTAATTCCGACACTCGGAAGGCAGAGGTAGAGGCAGGCGGATCTCTTAGAGGCCAGCCAGGTCTTCAGAGGAAATCCATCATGACAGCCAAGGCTACACAGAAAAGCCCTGTCTCAAAAGAAAAACAAGAAACAAACAACTACTACAAAAGACTCAAAACCACCAAATACAAAAAACACATACTTAAAACACATTTGCAGGCCAGCACTAGCGCAGACTCAGTGGCCAGTGTTCCAGGGCTCTCCTGGCACACTGAATGTTGTAGCTCAACCTCACAGTATTCGTGTTCAAACCTGTTAAACAGCAGCTAAGATTTTAACATTTAATTAAAATATATAATTATCTGATGGGTAAGCATATACTAACCTGTTATGTGAGACAAGCTGACCTGAAGGTAATCCAAAGCTAGTGAATCAATCACTGCTTGTACATTGTGGGCATCGTCTTCTTGACTCCTGGAAATAACTATGAGGTCTGTGGGGGGAAAAGTCATGTCATTTCAGAGCTTTGAGGGGCCGAGCTGTGAAATAGAAATATATATTTGTATTCATCATATATATGTCTGTGAGTAGGCTTGTGAATAAACTCCACTGCTACAAAAACAACTCAAAACAAGAATTATAGAGCCTAAATTCTACATACTAGAGTCTGTATTAGTTGACTATTTATTGATTTGAACTTACTCTTCAATACTCTATAATGGTTGAGTATTTTTCACCCAATGTATGAGTATATTCTATACACATACCATGTAAAGGAATAAACAGAGCTCCTTACAGGCATTAATGCCAGGCAGTGGTGGCACACACCTTTAATCCCAGCACTCGGTAGGTCTCTGTGATTGTGAGGCCAGCCTGATCTACAAGAGCTAGACCCAGGACAGGCTCCAAAACTACAGAGAAACCATGTCTTGAAAAACAAAAAACAAAAAACAAAAAAACAAAAAAACAAAAAAAGGAATTAAGCTAGTCTAATAACAACAGCAAGCCTGGGTATGACAACACATCTCTACAATCTCAGCACCAGAGAGACTGTAGCTATATCAGGAGTTGGTACCTACACTGGTCTATATAACAGGACCTGTCTCTGGTGCAGGAGAATTGTCTGTATTCTGTCAATCATGTTTTAAATAAACGCTGATTGGCCAGGCAGGAGGTGTAGGCGGGAAAACCAGACAGGAAGTGGAAATGATGCAAGGAGAGCAGGAGAATTCTGGGAAGGAGGAAGTTGATTCCTCCCTCTCCTGCCCAGATCACCGAAGCAGCAGGATGTGAGCTGCCCCAGCTGAAAAAGGTACTGAGCCACATGGCTAACATAGATCAGAAAAATGGGTTAATCAAGATGTAAGCGTTAGCTAATAAGAAGCCTGACCTACTGGGCCAATCAGCATTATAACTTACAGAGTCCTGTGTGTGATTTTTCTCTGGGACTAAACAGCTGGGGAACTGGGCAGGACAAAAACCCCAACAAGCCGGCCCCCCTCATGTTACATGTCTCAAAAACAAACAAACAGATGCTTAAATCCCTAACTATGGGCTGTTTTCCTTGACAAAGTAAAGCAAAAACTAAAGGCCAAATCAGCCAGGCATGGCAACACATGCCTTTAATTCCAGCTTTCAGGAGGCAGAGCAGAGTCTGGTCTACATAGCAAGTTCTAGGTCAGCAGAGGCTATATGGTGATACTATGCCTCAAAAACAAAACCAGAAGACCCAGACCACAGCAGGTGTTCAAGTGGTCATCTTTCATATGCCCTGTTACAAGCATGTTCTGGGGATGACTGGCATAAGAGCTAAAGCAGAGATGAGAGTATAGAAAGATTTTAATGGCAAAGCAAGCATCTCATCTGGATGGAATAGAATCCCAGCACTTGGAGGCAAAGGCAGGCTGATCTCTGAGTTTGAGGCCAGCCTGGTCTATAGAGCAAGTTCCTGGACAGCCAGGGCCACATAGAGAAACCCTGTCTTGAAAAAAACAAAACAAAAAACAAAACTGAACTAACATCAAGTAAATATTAATTCTTATCTATAATTAGTAGTTAAGTAAGACCCAACAAATTCTCAAGACCCACTCAAATTTATAACCTTGAATTGAAGGTAGTTACAGAAATAATTACATGGGATTAAATAGGGATTAACTCAAATAAATGCCAGATTATTTAATCATGGCTATTATTGTGGGTGAGGTCCACAATGTACTCATTAAAGCAACTAGTGTCATAGTTGAATAAAACACAAAATTCTAAGTGAAAGGAAATTTGTGACCCAAGACAAAATTATTCTCACTTTTCAGTACCCTTACCTGGTACCTTTTCTCCCAAAATGGACTGATAAAGTGCAATAAAGACATTAGCATCACAGTCTTCAAGTTCGTGTATCCTCAGGTGTATGTGACATTTAAAAAGGAGATTATTGGCAATTGTTACCCATTCTGTTGGGGAAGAAGGGGGCAATCAGTCTTCAATAGCAATAGAAAAAGTCATATGTACATTTTAAAAAAAAGCACTGCCACAGAACATATACATTGAAAACTGTAGAAGATAAGGACTTTGTTATGAAATTTCAAATACTCAACTAGGCAAAAGTTTTCCAGATGTATTTGATTCCTCGGGATGATTTCCAGCGCTAGCTCTTCCACAGTCAAAACTATTGTGCCAGTCCCACCTTTACTCTCGCAACTTAAGATCCCATCTACTGGTATTTTTATAATTCTGACATAGGTGGTGTTAGTTACAATACACTTATAGGTAAGCACGAATGTCGTAAGGCAGTTGCTAGAATCTAACGGAGCCAATCTAACTATTGGCTCCAAATTCCCAATAGTTTTACCCAATTAGCTTGTGTAAGTTAAGATCTCTCTGGTGCCCAAACAGGTGATTGATTTGGACTGTTAGGAACTGGAATAATGACAACACCGACACTAATGCATTTGTTAGTTTTCTTTTTTATTACAGTTGATGTATACGAAGGTAAACCTGAGAAAAACGAACACAACGCTAAGCTCTGAACTAGCACATTAATACTGCTCTCAAGTTCCCCGTTGCGTTATTGTTTTTTTGTTTTGTTTTGTTTTTAACATTCCTTGCTCTCCTCTATACAGTTCGGAACCAAGTTTAAGGGGTTTCAGCAATAATTCTGAAAGCTTGCAACTCCTGAACTACTGTATTCTGAAACGATTGGGTTAGAGAAGACACCATAGAACTGAGCACATCTCCAGTATGAGATTGACAGGTATTCCTGGAGACAATAGTCTGAATGTGCCATGTCCCTGTCTCTCTCCGATGCCCATTTCTCACAGCAGACCAAGCCATGACAACCATTTTGTGTGCTGTCGGGGAGAGGAGGTAAGCGTCCTAGACAACCGAATCAATTGGCTTTTCAAAGGCAGTACTGGACAAAGCCGGTTACTCTAGAGGACATCAAAAGATATAAGGAGTGCTATGCCTCAAAAAAAAAAAAATACACGTCCCACAAAAATCGGATCAGAGTAGGATCCTCTGCTCTGTAAAGACAGGGTGCGGGTGTTCCAGCCTCGCTACAGAACCCATCTGTCACATCCCAAGTGTCCGTCCCGCGTCTAGAAACCCCAAGAGGTCTCGAGGCTGAGACCCCCCAAATTCAGAGAGCTCCCCCCCCGCGACTGTGACTACTGTCCGACAGTCACAAGTCTCTCCGGACACGGTTCGGGTCGGACCGAGGCCAGCTGGATGCTGCAGCACAAAAACACTGGGGCTCCAGGCCGAGACTCACCAGCCTCTGAGCTGGCCATACTGCCAAGAAAGGTCGGGGTCGGAGACGAGAGCGCGGGCGGGCGACGGTGTCCTGGAAGGGCCGAAGCGGGTAGGAGGGGGTCGGAACCAGAGAGCGGGGACCGAGGGCTGGGAGAGGGAGGGTCGTTAAAACGGCTTCTCGCCGCTGATTGGTCATCAGAGAGGCACTTCCTCTCGCAGCTCGCGCTTCGGCGGCAGTTTGCGGGCTCTAGCTACCTTTCCCCGCGGGCAAGATCCCGCTTGAGGGTTCTCAGATCGGCGGGCCAGGCAGCCAGGTCACCCAGCAGCCCGGCCGATCTCCCCGGGGCGTCGGGACCGCGCTTCCGGTGAGTCTGCGGGAAGGTATCCCTCCGCCACCGCCAAGCGGAGAAGTAGTGCGGTCCGCCTAGCCCTGGGGTGCCACCACGTGACAGCGGCAGGCTCCACCTCCCCGTCCTCCCCGGTCATGGGCGTGGGGGAGTCTGTGGCGACGTAAACATCTTCAAGCGGAGCCTGCGAGCTGGCCGGCGCTGACCATTTTTTAGTGAGCGGCTGGCCCCGGGGAAGCGGCTCGTTTGAGGTTCGGGGCGAGGCATCCTAGAGGGGTGACCCCCGTCGGGAAGGGGGTAATAAACGGGCGCCTGTGAGGGGGCGCCCGCGGGGGGGAGGGGCGAGGACTTGGCGGATTCCGGAACGCCAGCGGGCGTTGGGGCCTCCAGCCAGGGGGCGGGGCGATTAGGTCACAGAGCGGCTCCCAGCAGCCTTTGCGGCGAGGAGGCGGTCCAGAGTATAAAACCGGCCGCCGGGACGCAGCCGGCACCTCATTCATTTCCATCGGTCCCTGGGTTTACAGCTCCGGCTTCGTCACCGCCGTTCCCTCCGCTGGTGACGCCCCCGCAAAGGCTTCGCCGTCGCCGAGGCCTCCTCCGTCGCTACTGGATTCACTCTTACTGGGTCTTACCCGCACACCGCAACCATTGACGCCATGTCGAGTTATTCTAGTGACCGGGACCGCGGCCGGGATCGAGGGTGAGTGTGGCGAGGGACCTGTCAGGCCGGGCGGGTGGGGGATGGGAGGGCGGCGCTACCGGAGCTCGGTTTTCCAACCGACCGCCCCCGGGGTTTTCGGAAAGGAGGCCTGGCATTTTTTGATAGCCGATTTAAAAGCCGTTAGAGGCGACACTTGCTGCTCATCGGGCTCAACCCTGCTTTTGTGGCCTGAGAGGACCGGGACCCGCGGCGCCCCCGGCCACCTCGCGGCTGGTGAGGCGAGTCCGGAGGAGCGGGTCAGGAAAGGGAGCGCCGCGCCTTTGAGGCGGCCCGAGGCGTTGTTCCGCGCAACCTTCCGGCCGGTGTTTTAGGGGCTCCCGGTATTACCGGGGAGTAGAGGGATCGCTTTCGAGGCCATCCGTGCCGGGGAGGTGGCCAACGTCGGTGGATTCAGCCATGCGGCTGAACCGCGGCCACAAAATGCCGGCCTCGGACATGGCGGCGGCGCCTTTGTTACCCCGCCCGGCGGAGGCGCTCAAAATGGCAGCGTCGAGAAAATGTGGCGCAGAGAGAAATGCGAGACAAAGAAGGAAGCGCCGCCCCAGCGGGAACGCCGCCCGGTCCGGGACTCCTCCCCCGGTTGTCGCCGGCTCCTCCTCTTTTTTTTTTTTCCTGCTCGCGTTATATAATTTTGCTACCTTGATGTGCAGCGCTTCCGCGGTTCGCGGCGTTCCCCAAATCGCGGCTCGCCGGCATGGGCACCCCTTTCTACCCTGCCCGCGGCACCCTACACACTAACCTCGCATCGCCAGCGCGGTCCCGTTATTTAAGATCCGTTCCTTTGCTTGAAAACAGTGGCAAAAATAAACCTTGTTAAGCCCCTCCCTTCTTGCCCAGCTCCTAGACCCTAATTCCTAAACTCTGGCGGGGGGGGGAGTATATGGAGCCTCAAGCTGTTGTCTGTCCTTGTAATCTGAACTTCGAGAGGTTTGGGCAGTTTCCGACCTGATAAGTCCAGACTGTTTGCTTGGCCTCAATAGAGTGTGCTTGGGACTACGGTAAAAAGAAATGCTGTGCCAGTTGTGGCTGTCGAGAGAATGACAATTGGGAGGGATTCCAGAAATGCACTTTAGCTCGATATCTAAAGACAGTAAATAAGACGTGGGTGCAAACCTGTATATAGGACTCTTTTCACAGTTCGACTTTTTTTCTCCCGTAGATTTGGTGCACCGAGATTTGGAGGGAGTAGAACAGGACCCCTCTCTGGAAAGAAATTCGGAAATCCTGGGGAGAAACTAGTTAAAAAGAAGTGGAATCTTGATGAGCTGCCCAAATTTGAGAAGAATTTTTATCAGGAACACCCTGATTTGGCAAGGCGTACCGCAGTGAGTAATAGATTTTACTTCTACTCAGTTGATGGAAACGGACAGATATCTTGCAAATGTCTAGGTTTGGAGAGTTATTTGTGGTATGACTCCCAAACATGTCCTATTGAGTTATTCTGTGTAAAAAAATGTGTGTTGGCCAGGTTTAATGGCACGGGCCTTGAATCCAATCACTGGGGAGACAGGCAAATCAATCAGTTTATTTGGGTTACACTTGTTTTTATTTTTCAATATGTATAATAAAGTAATTTCTATTGCTAAATGGATTTTTTTAATGGGTCCAGATTTTTTTTTAAATACATAAAAAAATCGTTAGTTGTCAGGAGCTTGTCAGTGCAGTTGGCTAAGGTTTGAGACTGGGATCATTTGTTTTTCAGCAAGAGGTAGATACATACAGGAGAAGCAAGGAGATTACTGTTCGGGGTCACAATTGTCCAAAGCCTGTTCTGAACTTTTATGAAGCAAACTTCCCTGGTAAGAATTAATTTTCATCTTCGTCTTTCATTTATTTTCTCTTTTTACCTAAAAGGTTTTTACTAAAATATTATTGGTTACAGCAAATGTCATGGATGTGATTGCGAGGCAGAATTTCACTGAACCCACTGCTATTCAAGCTCAGGGCTGGCCAGTTGCTCTAAGTGGATTGGATATGGTTGGAGTAGCTCAGACTGGATCTGGGAAAACATTATCTGTAAGTTTAAGACAACTTGATACATTCTGGGAGGGTGGTGATCTGGTAAATCTTTTTTTAAGCATTTTAATGCAATTTCTCTTGCTTCTATTCTTGCTCTCCAATAGTATTTGCTGCCTGCCATTGTCCACATAAATCACCAGCCATTCCTGGAGAGGGGTGATGGGCCTATTGTAAGTATGGCTTATATTTTTTTTTTTTTTTTTTGGTTCTTAGAGATTTGTAGTCTATATAATCCCCCATTTTGCTAGAACTAGTTTGACTCATTCTTTCTGGAGAATGGAATTTGATTTGCCTAAGGACAGTAAGCTCGAGGCTTGTCATCAACTCTGATGCCTGAGTTAACTATTTATAACCTACAAGTAGGAAAGAAACAACTCCCAGAAGTTGCCTTCCACTTTTCACATGTGCTCCCGCTCACAAAAAGTAAATGTAAAAGTTTCCTGGAACCAGTGTTTCTTTATTCTGAGCATAGTGATCCCTGTTTATGATCTCAGTACTGTAATCCCAGGCAGAAACTTGAGGATCCAGGAATTGAAAGTACACTTCAATAACAGAAAGCCCTTGTAATAAAAAAGAACATCTTGGGTCCATCTAAATTCAGTTCCCAACACACATTCCACCCTACCTCAAAAAGACATGGCACCCTAGTATGCTGGTTTGTACTAAAACATTTTTTGTTTTAGTACATTGTTTTTTAAATTTCTTTAGTGCTTGGTGCTGGCACCAACTCGGGAACTGGCCCAGCAAGTGCAGCAAGTTGCTGCTGAATACTGTAGAGCTTGTCGCTTGAAGTCTACTTGCATCTATGGTGGTGCTCCCAAGGGACCGCAAATTCGCGATTTGGAGAGAGGTATATGCCCGTAAAGGCCATAAAGGGGCTCTTTGTCACTGATAGGGTGAAAGTTTTGCATAATATAGTTAAACTTGCTCCTTTAATTAAAGGTGTGGAAATCTGTATTGCAACACCTGGAAGACTGATTGACTTTTTAGAGTGTGGGAAAACCAATCTGAGAAGAACAACTTATCTTGTCCTTGATGAAGCTGATAGAATGCTTGATATGGGATTTGAACCCCAAATACGGAAAATTGTGGATCAAATCAGAGTATGTATCCTTACGTTCTTGTAAAAAGCAGTTCTAAGTTTACTCTGAGTGTCGCGGTCTAATTTATTTCCCCCAATTTTTAGCCTGATAGGCAAACTCTAATGTGGAGTGCAACTTGGCCAAAAGAAGTAAGACAGCTTGCTGAAGACTTCCTGAAAGACTATATTCATATCAACATTGGTGCACTAGAACTAAGTGCAAACCATAACATTCTTCAGATTGTGGATGTATGTCATGATGTAGAAAAGGATGAGAAGTAAGTTTTTAAGTCTTAGCAATTTGAGGAAATCTTGCTTATACAACAGACTGGTTTTGAAAGTTGAATGAGTGTGGTATATGTTCTTTTTTAAATGTTTGTTGGGGGTATACATATTGGATAAATACTTACAATAAATATATTAGGTAAACTACTTCCCTGCCTGGCAGGCATGAGCAAAAAAGCTTGAGTTTGAACTTAACCACTACGCAAACACACAAAATGATATGCCAGTCTTTATGAAATTCTTTATTCTTTGGGTGTTGTGTTTGCTAACAGCACTTCCTGTAAGGAAAGGAAAGCCACATGTCATTAGCTTTCCCTAAATGACAAAGAGAATTGACTTAGTGGGTGTGTTGGTGTGACTTCCATGATATAATACACGTTCAACTCTTTCACCAATCGTTTTTCTAGTTGATTATTCCTTTTAAAAAAGTGACAATTTTTTTTATCTTTAGACTTATTCGTCTAATGGAAGAGATCATGAGTGAGAAGGAGAATAAAACCATTGTTTTTGTTGAAACCAAAAGAAGATGTGATGAGCTTACCAGAAAAATGAGGAGAGATGGGTACGTGGTTTCCTGCATCAAGGCAGACTGAAGTACTTTGATCAGAAGCAGGGAGTTTTGTGGGGATCATGTGCCCCAGCATAGGTATAATTATATGAATTAATTTCAGTGACACTATAATGGTAACAGCTCAGTGATACAGTGCTCTGTAAGAGAGTACTTAGATGAAGAGCTGTAGGGTTACATATTGGCTTCAGGTTTTAAATGAGTGCACTAATATAACTTGCTAATACAGGTGGCCTGCCATGGGCATCCACGGTGACAAGAGTCAACAGGAACGTGACTGGGTTCTAAATGGTATGTATTTTGAATAAGATGAGATTTGTAATTTGATAACATTTGCTTTAATTAATAGTCGTTTTTATGTGTATGTCTTTGTAGAATTCAAACATGGAAAAGCTCCTATTCTGATTGCTACCGATGTGGCCTCCAGAGGGCTAGGTTAGTACAAACTCGAATTCGTGGCTTGGTTTTCCAGAAGATCTCCATGTAGTTTTTTTTAAAGAAAGTTTATTGCTTTCTTTAACCTGCATTTTTTTCTAAGTTTTTTTCACATAAAGGTGCAGTCTTTGTGGCAAGGCCTAGGCATGACAATCGGAGGACTCGAGGGGGATGGAGGACTAGTGATCGGCTGGCTGCTTCCAGTCGATTAGAGAGGTGAAAAGCTGAAAGTGTGCCAGTAATCTTCAAAGGGCAGAACATACCACCTCTGCCCCATAAACTGTTCTCTCCGGGGGAAAAAAATGGAAGTTACCTCACAGTTCACTGCCGTGGTATTTCATCTGTCCCATGCTTTGCATGATTGCCATGGTACAGCATTGTTTCAAACTGTTCACTGTGATCTGTGGGTCTTTGAGTTTCAGTGAGTTTGCTGAAATGTCGAAGAAATATTTCCAAACTTCAATGTTCAATGAAATTTTTGTTCACGTTTGAAATGGAGAGAGCAGCTTTAAAAGGTACTAAGCCTTTTACAAATTGGTGAGTACTGGCACATGAGACCTAGAGCAGGATCAACTTCTCACACATAGTCAGTGGGAAAAGAAAGTTCCTTGAAAGTTCCTCCCTCACCTACACAGTAGTCGTCATGTCGAGACCTGCCAGAGAGAGACACATTCTCAAGTGAATCCTGGCTTCTTGGAAGCGCTTGCCTAGACGAGACACAGTGCATTAAAACAACTTTTGGGGGACAGGTATGTTTTTCTTGCAGCTGCAGTTGTAAGGTCTTGGCAAGACAAGCAGTGTGGCCAGAATTTTGAACTTCTGATGAGTGTAATGCAAAGGACCTTGTACATTTTTTTGTTTAAAGGTCCTCAAAAATGAGCACATGAAGAGGTTGCTGTGAAACTTTTAAGTGGCCCTACTGCGCAGAAGCATTCAGATGTCACTTGATGATCTGTAAGGGGACATTACCAATTTGGGAATGTGCTAAGGAGAACACACATTCCCTCGATAGGCTGTCAGTGGGCGGGTGATAACCTAATACAGCTGACATGTGCTTTTTTTGTTTTTTTTTCTCCTGCCCCACCCTCTTTTTTTCTACCTCAAATGGTATTCCTACAGGAAATGGATAACCATTTTAACTGTATTTTTTGCAGCCCGTACCTTCTTGGGAATACAATTGTCTAACTTTTTATTTTTGGTCTGGCTGTTGTGGTGTGCAAAACTCCGTACATTGCTATTTTGCCACACTGCAACACCTTACAGATGTGGAAGATGTGAAATTTGTCATCAATTATGACTACCCTAACTCCTCAGAGGATTATATTCATCGAATTGGAAGAACTGCTCGCAGTACCAAAACAGGCACAGCATACACTTTCTTTACACCTAATAACATAAAGCAAGTGAGCGACCTTATCTCTGTGCTTCGGGAAGCTAATCAAGCAATTAATCCCAAGTTGCTTCAGTTGGTCGAAGACAGAGGTTCAGGTAAGATGTTACAGTTAGTTGGGGGTCACTTCATTGACTACAGTCTGTTTTAAATGGGATTGGAGGGGTAAGTAGTTTATTTTGAAATCTAAGAACTCAAAAAGCTACCTAACTTCTATGTTAACACATTAATGTCACAGATAAAATTGACCCATTTTTACTTACTTTCTTGACAGGTCGTTCCAGGGGTAGAGGAGGCATGAAGGATGATCGCCGAGACAGATACTCTGCGGGCAAAAGGGGTGGATTTAATACCTTTAGAGACAGGGAAAATTATGACAGAGGTTACTCTAGTCTGCTTAAGAGAGATTTTGGGGCTAAAACTCAGAATGGTGTTTACAGTGCTGCAAATTATACCAATGGGAGCTTTGGAAGTAATTTTGTATCTGCTGGTATACAGACCAGTTTTAGGACTGGTAATCCAACAGGGACTTACCAGAACGGTTATGATAGCACTCAGCAATATGGAAGTAACGTTGCAAATATGCACAATGGTATGAACCAACAGGCATACGCATATCCTGCTACCGCAGCTGCTGCGCCTATGATTGGCTATCCGATGCCAACAGGGTATTCTCAATAAGACTTTAGAAGTATATGTAAATGTCTGTTTTTCATAATTGCTCTTTATATTGTGTGTTATCAAACAAGATAGTTATTTAAGAAACATGGGAAATGCAGAAATGACTGCAGTGCAGCAGTGATTATGGTGCACTTTTTTCGCTATTTAAGTTGGATATTTCTCTACATTCCTGAAACAATTTTTAGGTTTTTTTTGTACTAGAAAATGCAGGCAGTGTTTTCACAAAAGTAACTGTACAGTGATTTCAGATACAATAAATGAAGGCAATGCATGGCCTTCCAATAAAAGATATTTGAAGACTGAATTAAGTGGAAATTGTACTTTATTTTACATATATAATGTCATGTAAAACTTGGCTTAGTATGTTTTGGGGGGATTCTCTTTTTGCTTTGGTGTTTATTTTTACACAAAAACTACAGTTGACTACTTGCCATTATTTGATTTAGGACTTAGGAGGAGGGGGAATCAGAGGCCCTTAAGATGATCTGTTTATATGGGAAGAATATTTTGTCAGCTTTCAGTATCAGGGATAACATGGTAACTGTTCTTTTGCAAAACAGTTTAAGCAATGACATACTTTTTTCTGGCTCTTGGCTGCCAAAATGCACAAAGCTCAAAGACTGTTAGCCCAAGAGCTGTGCACTGTGTCCTTCGTGTAGCTTACTTTGTGGTTCCGGTTCTTAATGCCACACTGGCAGTCAGGAATGATTCCACATATTTCAGGGCATTATAGAGGTCTTAAGATTGTAGGCTAGTCAGTACTCCAACACAAGGAAGAAAACTTCAGAATTAACCAATAGGCAGCAGAACCAAAAGCACAGTAAGAAAAGTTATGAGATTAGATTCACCATGTGCTTACTGCTAGAAAGATAAAGGGAATAGCCATAGATTAAATGGGTTTGCCAACAGCTTTATTTCACAATGGTTGCAAGGTCTAATTGTCTTCCCAGAAAATGGAGTGTTTTTGCCCAGGACAAAAGTCTTAAAGGAATTTCATTTTTGTTTTTTTAAACAGGCTTTGATGTTAATTCCTTATTTATAAAATGTAAAACAAATTAGAATGTGCTGGGGGTGGGAGCTGGGATTAATGGTGAATGTTTTCCAGGGCTGATACGTTGAAAATTGGTTCATCCTCTAGTACTCTGAGTGGTTTTCAATGGCATGGCTAGTCACATGATTTTTAAGTATAGGGTTAGATTGGAGCATTTATTACATACTTTAATGTTCAATGTCTTACTGTGGGCCTTTTATTTTGTAAATATTATGGAAATGATTGTGGGGCTTGGAAAAAAAATTACCTTTGAAGTTTTAAAAGACAGTCCACTTTTTAGCATGTGTGTTGTGTCCAGCCTGTGGTTGTCTTAACTAATAAATGTGGTTTTTCTCCCCATTCTCTTCCTTTTATTTATTTGCGTAGAGCCATCTTACCTGGGGTTTTGCAGCCCCCCCACTTCCCCAACCTGGCTGTCTTGGAACTTAACACAGACTATGCTGGCCTTCAAATCAAATTGCCCCTCCTGAGTGCCCCTCATCACACTCAACCCTGTTAACTTGTCACACAAACTGCTAAGCTTACATACAATAAGTTGCTCTCTGTCTCCTGGTCCGTCAGGTATTGCATGTTTTCTGCTAGGTCTGCTGATCTCCCAGACATCCATAGTCACTTTAAAGAAAACAGACAGGCCTTTAATCCCAAAACTTCGGGAGTGAGAGGCAGGTAGATTTCTGTGAGTTTAAAGCCAACCTGGCCTCCAAATCAAGTTCCAGGACAGCTGGGGTTATTACAGAGGAATCCGGGGGAGGGGGAGTTATGGAGGTTTAAAGGTCCCTACCGTTCCTTGCCTCTCTAGCCACACCCAGGAGGGAGCTGAAGTAGGCCACCGGTACTGCCAGCCTTAGGGACGTTCGGGTTTAAACTAAAGGAGTAAAATAAGAACAGCCAGACTATGTGCACACGGAAGTGAGTGCATTTCCCTTGGGGATTGAACGCTAGGCCTTAAGGCCAGCGCATTTTGGTGGTCTTGGAAACTAGGAAAAACATGAGTTGATAGTAACTCTGCAGTAGTTACAGGATGGTGGTAAAAGCTGAAGTGAGTGGAGTTGCCAAACGCGGAAAGTCCCCAAATTGGTAAACAACCACAAACACAGGCGGAGGCCGGGATACGCCCAAGGAGGCTGCGACCAGAGCAGTGACGCACTTCCGAGGGGCGCGGCCTGCAGCTTGTTCGTTTCCGCCGCGCCTGCGTCCTAGGGTCTGTCTACTGCTGCTCTGTGGTTGAGGCGCTGGCGTTCTTGCTCGAGAGACATGCGCTCGGGCGGCGCGGTGCGGGTTTGCAGCCGCGTCTGCAGGCGCTGGCTCTCCGGGTGCGCGGGTCCCGCAGACGGGCCGGAGGACCGCGAGGCGCTGGTAGACCTCTGCCGGAGAAGGCACTTCCTCAGCGGCACGCCGCAGCAGCACAGCCCGGCTGCTCTCCTGAGCGGGTGCCACCCGGGCTTTGGACCTTTGGGTGTCGAGTTGCGAAAGAATCTAGCCTCCCAATGGTGGTCCACCATGGTGGTTTTCAGGGAGCAGGTCTTCGCGGTGGACGCCCTCCACCACGAACCAGGCCCTTCGCAGCCCGGGGACAGTGCCTTCAGGTTAGTTTCTCCAGAATGTATACGCGAAATCTTGCAAGACAAAGAGCTGAGTAAGGAACAGCTAGTGGCATTTCTTGAGAACTTATTAAAAACTTCTGGGAAACTACGGGAGACTCTTCTTCACGGTATGGCTCTTCGCGTTTCGTGCTTCTGAAAAGATTTGGGGTGGAAAAGCAGTCTTGCATTAATCTGAAGACAACTGGCCCTGGCTTTCCAGGGGAAGAAATAACCAAGTTTTCTTTAAAAAAAAAAAAAAGTAACATATTCATTGTGACCCACCTTCAGGCAAATGTCCGTGGCATCATGCCCAAGGAAATGGGTAAAGCATTCCATTTGAAGAGGAATCCCCTTAGAGCTCAATCACGCAGAATTAGGGCCTTAATTCAGTTGCATATTTGAAATTTCATTGATACCAAGACATTTTCAAAGAACTTCATCTACCCTTCCGTTTTATATACATGAAATTGTAGACTTATGTCAGCGTTTTTTCCTTTCTAGGTGACCTTTTTAGCTTTCCAGCTAGGAGATGAAACGTAGATTTGTATTTTTTAGGTATGGGTGCTCTGTTTGCATGCATGCCAGACAGGGCTTCAAATCCCATTATAGATGGTTGTGAGCCACCATGTAGTTGCTGGGAGAAACTAGAAGAGCAGTGAGTGCTCTTAACCGCTGAACCATCTCTCCAGTCCCCGCATCTTTCTCCTTAAAAGTCAGATACAACATGATGCGGAAATTCTAAAAAATAAAAGTGAGCTATGCAATTGTGGCACATGCTTTTAATCCCAGCACTTCAGAGGCTGAGGCAGGTGGATCTCTGTGAGTTCAAGACATGTCTGGTCTATGGAATGAGTTCCAGGACAGCCAAGGCTGCACTGAGGAACTCCCATCTTGAAAAGCAACACAGAAAAGTGACTAATTTGTAGTATTTTATTTCATATTCTTGACGTTGATGGCCTTAAGTAAACTTTACCATGCCCTCAAACATCGGTCTTATTTGCTCCCTCCTGTCTCTTACATCTCTACCTTCAGGTTACACAGACTCTGAAAATGAGATTTTTCAGTTCAGTAATGATAACCTAAGTGAGACATTGTTTCAATAAAACAGAACAAAAAGAGCGAAATTGGCAGAAAGGAGTTCTTATTTATTGCATTCTTAAGCTCCTTCTATATATGTGTATATGGTATGCCACAGCACACACGCAGAAGTCAGGACAGCTTTTAGAAGCCCCAGAGACAGAACTCAGACCTTCAGGTTGGCAGGAACTATACCCACAAAGCCTCTCCAGCCTTGAGGAAATGTCCTTGAGAGAGAGAGAGAGAGAGAGAGAGAGAGAGAACTATGCCTAATCAGAACCTTGTTTAGTGAGCCAGAAAAAGTAAAACCTTTTAATTGGGTTGAAAATTAAAACAAAAAATATACCAGCCATAGGGTAGATGATATTCTTTCTTAGTTAAGTCTATACTTAAATAATAGAGAATATTTTAGGAAACATAACAGGTCTGGAGTGAGCGAGAAAAAACATGGCAAAATGTTAATTGACAACTCTAGGTAAAAGAGTATATCAGTGTCTTTTGGTTGTTTGGCGGTGAGATTTTCTTGTTTTGTTTCTTTGGGTTTTTGGTTTTGGTTTTAATTTGAGATCTCCTGCAGCGGAAGCTGTCCTCAAACCCCCTGGTAGCAGAGGCTGATACTCCTGATCCTCCTGTCTCTACCTCCCAAGTGCTGGGATTACAGGTATATAGCACACACCTGGCTTTTTGTTTCAAAGATGACAAACTTTATCTCATTCTTCTGTTTCTCCTCCTGAGACAGGATTTCATTACCCTGTCGAGGATAACGCACAGGTTCATGGGTTCACACAGGGCCGTGAAGACTCTGCAGCCGCGGGGTCCCCAGCCTCTGTGGACTGAAGCACTTTCCGTTTGCCCATGGCATTTTTATTTTTTCTGTGTTTACACTTTAGCTAGTAGATTTCCATTTGCCCAAAACAACCTGAATGAAGCTTACAAAAATACACTTCCAAGTGCAAATACCTGATTCATGAGCTCCCACGGTTTTCTGGATTTTCCCTAACCACGTTTTGCATAGGCTTTGTATCCATGGGAAACTCTCAGACAAGATTCACATAGGGCAACAAAAGCTATCTGTAACACAAAGGATGGATTAGGGCTGGGGGCTAACTCCAGGTGTGACCTAGCGGGGTGGTGAGGAGGGGGTGCTTTCTAGCCCTCTGGCACCAGACTAGCAGGACATTCTGTCACTGTACCCCAAGTTGGCCTTGAAATCACTAGTAGTCCAGGCTGGCCTCAGTGTGAGCAGTGCCAGGGTAACACACGCACATCGACACACCTAGCACACTGTCCTAGTCTTTCAGTGTCTTGTAGATTGGAACCTCTCACACTGAAGAGTTCAAGAGTCACTCCCTGAAGTTAAGCGGTAATTGCGGCTCAGAGTTCACTGGCAGTTTACGCGTGGGATAGATTTATACAATGACTGGTTTGTTTTTTGACAGGTGCCTTGGAGCACTATTTTAATGGCCTGGATCTGGTAAACAGAAAGCTGCCTTATGGTCTTGCTCAGATTGGAGTGTGTTTCCATCCCGTTTCCGACACTAAGCAGATACCTGGCAGTGTTAAAAGGTACAAAATGTGACAGATAACCTGGTTTGGACCCTAAATATTCAAGAATCAGTCATTTCCACTTTGGAATACATTATATAATGTTCATAAAAAGCTAACTTCCTGGTTTTTTTTTTTAATACACAAAGAATTGGTGAAAAGACTGAAGCTTCATTGGTGTGGTTTACTCCTGCGAGGACCTCAAGCCAGTGGTTTGATTTCTGGTTGCGTCATAGGCTTCTCTGGTGGAGAAAGGTACTGCAGTAACAATTTCAGTAATTAATAATGAATTCTTTTATTTATTTGCCTTTCTGTTCTTGGTTTTAAAGCAGGGCCTCATGTCACCCAGGCTGGTTTCAAGCTCCGTCTGTTGCCTAGAATGACTTTGAATTTACCTTTCTGGGATTATAAAGAGTGCTAACACCCCGGCTAGCTGATTCGCTTACCTAAGCTCCTCTGAGTCCTAGGCTTACAGGCATGCACCACCACACCTGGCTTATAAATAGAACTTGAGGCGGCTGTGGGGGTTTTTGTATGTGTGTTTGTCTTTGTTTTAGTAGCCAGGCGTGGTGACGCACGCCTTTAATCCCAGCACTCAGGAGGCAGAGGCAGACAGATTTCTGTGAGTTCCAGGCCAGCCTGGTCTACAGAGCGAGTTCCAGGACGGCTTCCAAAGGTAGAGAAATCCTGTCTTGAAAAACCAAAAATAAAGTTACTGTGTAGCTGGAAGGATGGCTCAGTTGTCTTCTAGAGGACCAGAGTTTGGTTCTCAACACCCCAGTTAGGCAGTTTACAATTGAGGTTCTGACTCCCTCTTCTGGCCTATGAAGGCATCTATAAATGTGGCACACAAAAGGTCCACATAAATAAAGTAAATCTTGGGGCTAGAGAGATGGCTCAGTGGTTAAGAGCACCGCCTGCTTTTCTAAAGGTCCTGAGTTCAATTCCCAGCAACCACATGGTGGCTCACAACCATCTGTAATGAGATCTGGTGCCCTCTTCTGGTCTGCAAGCATGAATGTAGTCAGAATACTGTATACATAATAAATAAATAAATCTTTAAAATAAATAAATAAAGTAAATCTTAAAAAAAAAGTTGCTGCATTTTTTTGGGGGGGGAGGGACAGGCCCATCACAAATACCATGCAAATGTGTGGCATCAGAAGGTGAATTTGGGGAGTTCATTCTCTTTCCACTATGTGGATTCTGGGAATCCAACTCAGATGTTCAGGCTTAGAAGCAAACACCTCACCGGCTGAACCATCTCTGTAGCACGAATTCTAATTGGTCTTAATAAAAACTCGGAGTCAGCTATCCCGGGGTGAAAGCTGAAGGACCAGAGAAGCCGAGCGGCAGACACAAGAGCTCTTACCCTACCCATGCTCAGACCAAAGGGGCGGTCCTGTCTTCAGACTGACTGCTGCCACAGACCTTACTGAGCTCCTGGCTCCACCTCCCTAGTGCTGGGATTAAAAGCGTGGGATCCCAAGTGCTGGAATCGCCTTTGTGTGAGCTCTGTTTCTTAGAGACAGATTCAATTCTGCACAGCCCAGGGTGGCCTCAAACTCAGAGATCCTCCTGCTTCCCTCTCTCAGTCCTGGGATTAAAAGGTGTGTGCCACCACTCCTTGGCCTCTGTCTTTGCACGCTGATCTTCAGGCAAGCATTATTTGTTTAAACACAGAACATCACCACACATCTCAGTGACTCTGATTTTTGCCTTTTTTGAGACAAGTCAACCCTCAAACCCGAGCTGGCCTGGAATTCACTTTTATCTCAAGTCTGACCTACAGCTAGTGGCAACCTTAGTTTAGCTGGGATTATAGGTGTGAGCCTCCAGCTCACCTGTTTGATTTTTTTCAGTTTGATGAGGTCCTGGAGATGAGTTGAGAGCCTTGAATGTGCTAGATGAGCTACACGCTCCCACTGCTGTGCTGAATTCCTAAGAGAGCTATACAGACACAGACAGGAGGCGCTCTGTCGTGCTGCTTGTTCCAGTAGATACCAGGGTGCCCTTGGCGCAGAAATGCCGAGCTCAGGTGCTGCGGCTAAGCCTTTGTGTTTGGGGCTTTACTTTCAACCTGTTGCCGGGTAGAAGTCCCAGGCAACCTTAATTCTCAGAGATAAGTATGAAACTGAAGGAAATTGATCCTGGCACTCAGAAGCAGGAGGATCTAACGAGACCCCTTCTCAGAAAACAAAAGTAAATCAACGTCTCGTTAAATCAGTGAGACCCTTTGTTTTGTAGTTCGCTATGAGCCCGTCTGACTTCAGCAGCACCGACTGTGAGGATGAAGCCGGGCGGAAGGGCAGCAAACTTTACTACAGCTTTCCCTGGGGAAAGGAGCCAGTAGAGACTCTGTGGAACCTAGGAGATCAAGAACTACTCCACATGTATCCCGGGAGTACATCTCGGTTACAGGTGTGTGTCCTCTGACCAGATTCTCTGTTTTCTGAACCCCTGAAGGATAATTGTGTGGTGTCCTGTGACCAACCCCCAATAACTCTGTGTACCTTTGTTTTGTTTTGTTTTTGTTTTGGGGGTTTTGGGGTTTTTTGTTTGTTTTTTGAGATGGGTTTGTGTGTGTGTGTGTGTGTAGCTTTGGAGCCTGCCCTAGAACTCACTCTGTAGACCAGGCTGGCCTCGAACTCACGGAGATCCTCTTGCCTCTGCCTCCTGAGTGCTGGGACTAAAGGCATGCACCACCACCACCCAGCTCCTGCTCTGTAGTACGAGGGCCGGCTTGTTGGGGTTTCTGTCCCTCCCAGTACCCCAACAGC